GGTTGCAGAGACAGACAGACAGACAGACAGTCCATGATCCTTACCATTGAGAGTTGCAGAGACAGACAGACAGACAGTCCATGACCCTTACCATTGAGAGTTGCAGAGACAGACAGACAGACAGACAGACAGACACACACACACACACACACACACACACACACACACACACACACGGCACAGGCCCTACCACTGCGCTGCATCCCGGGATCTCTCTGACTGTGTTTTGAGACAGGGTCTCACTGAGTTGCCCCGTCTGGCTTTGTTGGCTTCTGTCACGAACCCTCCCGCCTCAGATCCCTGAGCAGCTGGGATTTAGGGCCCACGCCTTTTGGAAAGCTGGTCTGCCTTTCGCATGGTCCCCCGGAGAGAAAACACGAGTTTGAAGATTAAAGTCCCTGGGTGACCCAGAGAAGACGGGCCAGATAGCCAGGGTGGCACGCACCCGGGGCGGAGTCCAGATGACTCGGGCGTGCAAGTGAGGCGGAGCCCTTGCACGCACTGCCTTGAGTGATGTGTCCTCAAGAGGGGGACTTCTTTTTTTTTTTTTCTAGACAGGGTTTCTCTGTGTTGTTTTGGAGGCTGTCCTGGAACTCACTCTGTAGACCAGGCTGGTCTCGAACTCACAGAGATCTGCCTGCCTCTGCCTCCCGAGTGCTGGGATTAAAGGCATGTGCCACCAACGCCCGGCTGAGGGGGGCTTCTTAAAGCTCTTCTTTTGCTTACAATCCATTCCCTCCTCCAGAACACACTGGCTGGGCACTGCCACACGCGTGCTTGGCAAGCCTAGTGAAGCCAGCCCGCAGCAGCCTCCATCCTGCCCCCCTGGTGCTTCCCCGGTCGAGGGAGTGGGGAGCGAGTGAGCAGAGAGAGGGTATAACCAGTTAGCACCACACACACCAGGGGTGACCTCAAGTGCCCCTGGGGCAGAGGAACTCTTGAAGGAAGCTAAGCAGAGAGGGAGCCCTCCCATCGGGGCTGGGGGAAGAGAGCAGGAGCAATTTTAGACCTGAGCCGAGGCTTGCAGGAGGTCACTGAGGTCTTGACGATGAGTCGGGGACAGCGGTATTGGCTGCCGTGTCAATCCCCTGGCCAGAGCAGGTGTGAGGAAAGGGAGAAGATGAGCTCGGGGAAGCCCCCAAGGAATCCTCTTAACAGCAAGACCATGATCCTTACCATTGAGAGAGTTACAGAGACAGACACACAGACAGACACTACAGAGACAGACAGACACACACACACACACACACACACACGCACACACGGCAAGGCAGGGGGGGAAGGACGGAATGAGAGAGTGACATCATCCGCCATGATGATGTCACGCTTGCCCTGGCTCGGTCCCACTCAGTAGGACCGAGACACCAGAGCCAGCAAGTGCCACCCCCACCCACCTTGAAGTTCCCTGACCATGAAAAACCAACGGCAGGGGCCAGGCCCGTGGTTGAGGTCACCCTCTGACAGGTTTCCTGCTCTTCCCTGGCCCTTTAGCTGGTGGCAGTCCTGCGAGAAGTCAAATATCTGAACTTCCAGCAACAGAAAGACATTCCCGGGAGCGCAGAGAAGCTGTTCTCGGAGAATGAGACCTTCCGGAAGTTTGTGGGCAACCTGGAGCTCATTGTGGGCTGGTACAACGAGGTGAGACGGTGCCCTCTGGCGTGGCGTGCCACACGTAGGCATCTGCATATTCAAATGTGCCTCTAGCCACTCTCCATTAGTCACCCGCCAGAGGCATCTATGTTTGGGCGCTGGCTAACGTTGTGCAATTCTTTGTAAAGGCGTTGGAAACTCCCAAGCTTTGGAAACTCCCAAGCTTTGGGACAATACTAACGTCACCCCCAGGCCACTTCTGTCACTTGTGTTAAAGCCAGGGAGAGGCGCCTCCTGAAACCCAGGTGGGAATGACAAGTCTCCCAGCTGGTGATGAGGAGGCCGCATGAGGTGCCTGGGAGAGAAGCCATCACCCTGGGCTTTGCGGTTCAATGATGGGAGAAATCAGAACCACCTGAGATACAATTCAGTTTCTTCATTAGTATTTTACTTTCAATCGTTAGTGTGTGTGCCATATTTATGTGGGTCTCCCTGGAGGCCAGAGGCATCGGATTCTCTGCAGCACGAGTTCCAGCTGTGAGCCAGCGGGTGCTGGGACTTGAACCCTCTACAAGAGCAACGCACACTTTTAGCCACCGAGTCATCTCTCCAGCTTGCGTTTTGGAAATAATTCCAAGACCACACTGCTGGCGGTTGGTTTGGTGGCATTTGTGCAGGGTCCCTAAGGCAGGTTGGGAGCATCAAGGTTTGGGACCAAACTCTCATCTCCGAGGCCTTTCTTCTGCAGATAAAGACAACGGTGATGGAGGTGGAGTTTCCCCTGATCAAGTCAGAACTGGAAGAGATTGATGTCAAGCTGCTGAGCGCCGAGACCACGCTGTTCTGGAACGGCGAAAGTAACTAGGTCACCTTTGTTCTGAGGGTTTGTCTGGGCAGCACCTGCCCCCGACGCTCTGGGGCAAGCAGCCTCTGCTGCCTCAGGCTCCAGGGAGTTGCCTGAACTGCTGTCACCCGTCTTCTTGCCCAGGACACAAAACCTGCCCGTGTCACTTACTGAACTGGGGAACGGCCGAGGGTCCCCGGAGGCCTGGCCTTCCTCGTGTCTAACCCACACACACACAGAGCAAGTCAGTAGAGAAGACATCTTGGCTCTGCTGCTCAAGGCAGATGCTGGAGGAGAGGAAGATGTGGAGTGACAGGGTCTCCTCCCTCCCTCCATCCCTGTACCTTTGGCCCCACCCTGTTCTACTGTCTCAGCCGAGGGGTGGGACCAAGTGTCACCATGCCTGTGACATGCGGGATGACCCCCTTGACTTTTCCTTTAGAAAGAGGCTTCGTTCCTTCCCTCTCCCTCCTGCCACAGAGCACGGCCCTTCTCCTACCACCCCCAGGCCCTGGCAGCTTCCTGCCAGAGCCCCAGCCTCCTCTCCATTCATTCATTCATTCATTCATTCATTCATAGTTGGGAAGAGGCTTCAGTCCCAGGAGCCCGGGGTGAGGCAGGACCCACACACTGGGAAGTTAAGACACCATGCTACCATAGCGGCAGACCACGGGCGGCTTCCACCATCCCGCCCCAGGGAAATCATGCTCTGGAGAAGGGCCACGTGGAGCGCTGAGCCTATCTAAGGAGGGCGGGACTCTCTTTCCCGGTCCCTCCCGGGTCCAGACCGCTTGTGCTCTGTGTTGCAGATGTGTTTCAGTACATCCAGGAGATGCGGGAGGTTCTGCACAATCTGCAGAACCGGATCCAGAAAGCCAAGCAAAACGTAGAAGGAATCAGGCAGGCTATGCAGGTGAGCAAGCTGCCTGGGGCGAGGCCCTGGGGCCGCCAGCGCGCCCAAGCGTGCGCAGAGGCCTCCAGCAGGTGCAGTCCTCCTGGGTGGGCGTGGGGCCCCGCGCCGGGCACCGGGTCGGCCAGGGAACTGTCCCCCCCCCACCCAGTGCTCTGGGCTGTGATGTCAGTGTGCTCCGAAAGCAGGGAGAGCTGAGTCACTCTGCGGAAGAACCGGCTCAGCTCAGTCTGATGCTCTCGGTAGACCGTGCGGTGCGGGGGTCGGGGGAGGCGGGCTGTGCCACGCGCGCCCGGTGGCGTTAGGAATAAGTGGTGGCAAGAGATGGGTGGGTTCGCGGCCAGTGAGGGAAGAGGCGCCCTGCTCGGTGTGGAAGACGCCTTTCTTCAGCCTCAGACAACTTCCAGAAGGCTGAGGAGCCTTCCCTAGCCTCCCTTGAGGGTCTCTGGGCCTCAGTTTGAAAAACACTTGAGGCTGTGTGTTCAAAGGGAAGTTGTGTGTGAGTGCATGTGTGTTGGGTGTGTGCAAGTGTGTGCACATACATGTGCAAGTGGGTGCCTCTGTGTGCACGTGTAGAGAACGGAGGTTAACATCAGGTGTCCTCAGTAGCTCTCCGTCCTACCTTTGGAGACAGGGCCTCCTGAACTTGGAGTTCACCAGTCTGGATAGGCAATGAGTTCCAGGATGCAGCCCCGCCCCCGGCCCAAGCCCCTCACTGGGCTTACAGGCACGTACCGCAGCACCCAGTTTTTACACAAGTGCTGGCGTCTGAGCTGAGGTTCCCATTGTTGCCCAATGCGCATTTTATCCGTCCCAGAGCAGAAAGTCTTTTTAAAAAATCTTTCCCTCCCATATGTTCTCAGCTGTATCATTTTATTCTATGTTTAAAGCAACCACGCGTCCATGCACGCACGCACAGAGCAAGGGGAAAGGCGGCTATGAGCTACGTGTGTTAACCCTGAAGTGCTGGGGGGGGGGCAGTGGCTGAGGTTGAGGCCCATCCAGGTGTACGCAGGAAGACCCTGCCTCAGAACGACTAATGGCAGCACCAACAACAATAAAAACAAAAAACAGGAGACCTGGAGAGACGGCGCAGCAGCTAAGAGCACTCCTGCAGAGGACCAGGGTTCTGTTCCCAGCCCCCACATAAGGTGGCTCACAGCCGCCTAGTAACCCCAAGCTCCAGGGATCCAACGCCCTCTCCTGTTCTGTGGGCTCTACACCCGTGTGCTGTACATGCAGACAGGCAGACACACACACACACACACACACAGATATACACACACGCACACACACACACATGCACACACACACACACAGAAAAGAGAAAATACAGAAACACAAATGGAAGAGCAAAGTCACCGCTCACCGCTGTCTTAGGTTTTGAACGCGGTTTTCTCTTGAACGGCATACGCGTGTCGTCGTCGTCATCCTCCAAGAAAGGCTGGCGAGAGACAAGGGAGGCGGGGCCTAGACCAAGTGTGTGCTCTCTGAAAGGGCTGTTCCTGTGGCTCCCCCCCCCAGGAGTGGTCGGCCAACCCCCTGTTTGAGAGGAAGGACAACAAGAAGGAGGCCCTGCTGGACCTGGACGGGAGGGTGGCCAACCTGAGCAAGCGCTACGCTGCCGTCAAGGACGCCGGCGTGAGAATCCAAGCCATGGTCGCGGTAAGGAGAGCCCTAGGGCGGGAAGAAAGGAAGGAGAGGGAGGCCTCGCTGAACGTTTTACTGAAACATCAAACGACCGAGCGTACCAATGGCTACAGAACCTATTAGCTTCCATCTGAGATGGCCCGACCCAAGAGCAGCTGGCTGTCCCCACGGAGCTTCAAAGCCCAGTTCCGGTTGTCCTGTCCTGTCCTCTGTTCCAAGGTGGCCAGAGCACCACCAGCACTGGTGCTAGGGTCCATGCGGACTGGCGATGCCTTCGCCCTGGGCCAACAGCAACAGGCGCTGCGTGTCTGTGTGTTTTTCCTTCATGGGTCCCCACCCATGAGCGCAGGTGCTGGACACGGGAGATCTGAGGAGCCTTCCCACGCATTCACGCCGCACATCACAGCCAGCATGTGCCAGCGGGCACACGGGTCCCACACCTGCTTTGCCATCTATAAAGTGGGTGTCTTTAACAGAAGCCCCCAGTATTAAGAGCCGGCTGAGTGAGATGGTGGCCAGAGAGCCAATGAGAGCCAGAGTGAGCCAGAGAGAGCCAGAGAGAGTCAGAGAGAGCCAGAGAGAGCCAATGAGAGCCAGAGAGAGCCAGAGAGAGCCAATGAGAGCCAGAGAGAGTCAGAGAGAGCCAATGAGAGCCAGAGAGAGCCAGAGAGAGCCAGAGAGAGCCAGAGAGAGCCAGAGAGAGCCAATGAGAGCCAGAGAGAGCCAATGAGAGCCAGAGAGAGCCAATGAGAGCCAGAGAGAGCCAGAGAGAGCCAGAGAGAGCCAGAGAGAGCCAGAGAGAGCCAATGAGAGCCAGAGAGGGCCAATGAGAGCCAGAGAGAGCCAATGAGAGCCAGAGAGAGCCAGAGAGAGCCAGAGAGAGCCAATGAGAGCCAGAGAGAGCCAATGAGAGTCAGAGAGAGCCAGAGAGAGCCAATGAGAGCCAGAGAGAGTCAGAGAGAGCCAGAGAGGGCCAATGAGAGCCAGAGAGAGCCAGAGAGAGCCAATGAGAGCCAGAGTGAGCCAATGAGAGCCAGAGAGAGAGCCAATGAGAGTCAGAGAGAGCCAGAGAGAGCCAGAGTGAGCCAATGAGAGTCAGAGAGAGCCAATGAGAGCGACCACATCTGTCCCAGCTCCAGCGAGACAGAACTGCCCGGGTGCTGGGTCTTGTTACCACATCCAACCGCTGCTGTGGTGGCTACCAGGACCACTTCTTTCCACCCTGTGCTAACGTTGCCGGAAAATCTGTCTCCTCTCTCCTCTGCCTGAGAACACAGGCTGGGTTACATTTGCATTCATCTGTAGCACTCTTTGTCTTATAGATTCTCCCATCTATCACGTACTTCATCCATCCATCCTACCCTTCATCTATCCCTTCATTCATCTTCAACCCGCCCACTCATATACCCTTCCATCCAGTCATCCATCTATATGTCCACCTACCCACCTATCCACCCACCCACCCATCCACTACTCTGTTCATTTACCTCCCATCAACATTCCTGTCCACACATCCACACACCCACTCATTTGCCTGTTTATGGGCCCACCTGCCAACCAATCCATCCATCCATCCACCTGTCCGTCCATCCATCCATCCATCCATCCATCTGTCCATCCATCCATCCATCCACCTGTCCGTCCATCCACCTGTCCGTCCATCCACCTGTCCGTCCATCCATCCATCCATCTGTCTGTCCATCCATCCATCCATCTGTCCATCCATCCACCTGTCCGTCCATCCATCCATCCATCCATCCATCCATCCATCTGTCCGTCCATCCACCTGTCCATCCCCTGTGCACTGAGCCCTTTATCACTTCTGACCCAGACACTGTCGAGCATCCGTGGTACAGTTGTCACAAAGATGGTCATGGAAGGAAGATACAGACAAAAGACAAGATAATTTACAGTTGTCACTTGTGCCGCAGTGGTGTGGCGTAAACAGCAGGCTGCTTAAGAGAATGTGGGTGGGATCAGGGATGGGAATCCTGATCCAAGTGGGTGCCCAAGGACAGCCTTTAGGAGGAGGTGACTTCTGAGCTGACAGCTGAAAGATCAGAAGGGAAAGATGACAGGAATTGGGGAGGGGGGAAGCCCCCCTGCGTGGAGCCTTCTCTGGGAAAGAGCCCAACGCATTCAAGGGGCTTAACATATCCGCCTCGAGTATCTCGGAACCAGACGGACAGAGACAAGGGTGATGCGTTCTGTCACGGGCTAGGCTGAACAAAGGCAAGTTTGCTCCAGTGAGATCATAGCATGCTTCCCTACACAGGAAAATGCAGAACTGTTCAGAGCAGACACGACCAGCCAGCCCTGGAAGGATTACGTCAACTACATTGACGGCATGGTCTTAGATGAGTTTGACCACTTCATCCGCAAATCTCTAAATTACTTAATGGACAACATGACTATGGACGTAAGTCACTGGGGTGAGGGAGGGGGAAGGAGGAGAGAGAGAGAGAGAGAGAGAGAGAGAGAGAGAGAGAGAGAGAGAGAGAGAGAGGAGAGAGGAGAGTGTCCCCTTATTTCCTGGCTGCTGTGTTGGAATCTGTGCTTCTGATCTGCCTAATGAAAGAGTAGGCAGTTTTGTGGATTGGCAGACTTTTACAGTCTGTTTGTGGTAACCAGCTTGCCCTGGTTTTAAAACTAGAGGTCCTGCATGCCAGAGAACACCCCCAATCCCAGGCTCTGGGGACGGCAATCACCGAGATCTGCCACAACCCAAATACACCGTAGGGCACCTGAACAGGTCTGAGAAAGTGCTCCCAGCCTGCTGCCAGGTGATGCTAGGCACCTCTGTTCCCTTTTCATGGTTACTGCAGAGGGGACTCTTCCCAGTAATGTCAGCGGCCGGCTTCACCTCTCTGTTACCAAGGTGTGCTTGCAAGTCCACTACGCTGTCTTCTCCAAGGGGGATGACACCTTCCCTACTATGCCTTGTCACAGCGTGTGCCGGTCAGCATTCTGTCGCTGGGACGAAACACCCGAGAACTTGAAAAGTAACCCCAAAGAGGAAAGGTTTAGTTTATAGCTCACCGTGCCAAAGATTCTGGCCCGTTGCTTCTGGGCTGTGGTGAACAGAGCGCCATTGCAGGGAGCCTGTTGAAATAAGGGGACACTGTCCTCTATAAAAAAAAAATCCGTTCCCAAACTTCAAGCTACAAATCCATTCACCGACTAGTCCATCAATGAGGTCAGAGTTCTCATGGTCCCATCACTGCTACACTAAGGACCAACCACTTGAGCTCCTGGGAACAGTTCAGTTCAGTGCCATAGCACAGCAGTCCCCAGAGGATCCTGAAGCCGCCAGTAGGAGAAGGCAAAGGATGGATGCCCCCCCCAGCCCTGCAAAGGACTGGACGGCGGCATCCAGAGGGCCTCCCACAAGCCACAGAGGGCAGATGGGTCACGGGGGAACCTGGCCCACGTCTCCATTGCTGCCCAGTCTTTGTCTTAGTATGATCTCTGCTGCCATAGCAGAGTACCCAAGACTGGGTGAGTTTCAGACAACAGACGCAGACACAGCTCGCAGCCTGAGGTCAGGGAGGGGCCCTCCTGGAGCAGACCTTAATGCTGCAACATTTCACAGAGGAAGGCGGAAAGGCCAAATGACAGAGACTTGCAGCCTCAAGCCCACTGTAGTCAGGATCCACACTCACGACCAGGATTCTGCCCACCGCACGGGCTTACTGGAAGACTGGTGTCAACCACGGCCACGACAAATTGCAGACCTAAAATTCTGTTGATGCAATCGGGCATTGCTCCCAACCATAAGGTTTACAGAGCACCCCCACACCGTTGCTAAGCGTCAGTGACACAGCTGACAAGACCAGTGGGTCAAGGGGAGTGGCCATCGAACCCACAAAGGTCCCTCCTTGACGCCGCCAGAGTTCCCAGTGGCCGTGGCCCCCACGGGCAGGAGCCAGCCTCTGTATCAGTGTTCTGAAAAGCCGGGCCATCCTTCACGGTGTCTGACCACCCACACCCTGCAGGGCCTCTCAACACTAGTGAACAGCCCTCCTCATTACAGAGAACTGGGGGGGCGGGGGCGGGGTGGCAGGGCCCCTCCTCCATGGGTCTGATGGGACCTGAGTCTGAGGTGGTCACAGAAAGGACAGCCATACCACTTGCAGGCCATGACACACAACCGGACAGTCCCTGGTGTCGTGGGAAGAGCCCCAGAGTAAAGCCCCACAGCCACCCCCCTGGCGGATGGGGCTCACACCCTGTGTGGCTTTGCAGCCTCAGCAGAGGCACACAGACGTGGACCGCCTACAGCCACGTGGGGGTATGAGAACTTGCCCAGCCCTGTGCGCTCCGTGTCCTAGGGGTGATGAACGGTCACTGTCTCCGTCCTAAGAAATGACGATCCTGGCTTTACAGGAAGCGGCTCTCCCTAGGCCAGGCAGCCGGCGATTGACAGCTCTGAGCTCGGCCATCTGCCTCTTCCTCAGCCTGTCCTTGCTGGCCTTGAGCCCACGACTGTTAGGTGCGCCTGGCCGACAAGGTCCGTGCCAGCAGGAGATGGCCGCTCATTGGCTAGAGTCTCCAATGGGCGGCTGGGCCTCAGTTAGCAGCAGTCGAGGCACTGAGCCCCCCCCCCACCCCGCGGCTTGTTTCAGGAGAGCATCGCGCCCCTGTTTGAGATCCGCATGGAGCTGGACGAGGAAGGGCTGACTTATAACCCGTCTCTGGAGATGGGCGAGGAGGATGGCTTCCTGGCGCTGATCGAGGGCCTGATCAACGACCTCTACAACGTGGCCAGGCTCATCCCTCGCCTGGCCAAGGGCAGAATTAACTACAAGGTCAGTCTCCATCCACCGCCACCTTCCCGCACCCCCCTGCTTGGGTACCAACTGGTGATGGCCCAGCCCGGCCACGCCTGATGCTAACGGATGTGGTCAAGTGTCTGAGGGTGCGTCCCATCAGGTCCCTGTGCGGTCAGGAAGCAGAGAGTGATGGTTGGCTTCCTCCCTGATGCTCTTGCGGGGCAATGGTGCTCCCCACATCCAGGGTGGGTCTTCTCACCAGACTTGAGCCACTCTGTGCCTACTGGTGACAGCCAGGACGAGGGCCAGGGGATACAAGGACAGGCGGGCCTGAAGGGGATGTCAGGTGACTTTTCCTGGGGAGACTTGAACAAACCTCATTTTACCTCAGATAGAGTACGGACAGTAACACGAAGAGCCTACCCCACTCGGGTGTAGCTCAGTGAAGCAATGAATTTATTGGGGTTCCGGACTGAACGGAGGGTTGCTCAAAGGCAGCCGTGTCACCACCAAAGAGCCGCCCCAAGTATGGGTGACAACACTCAAAGCCTGCAGGAGCAGCCTGCGGGAACTGCGGGTAGCCCGCTAATTGGAGAGTGGCCTTTTGCCAGCAGTTGCTACTCAAATGACCTGGGGACCAGCTTTGTGAATCCTGTAAAGGGTCAGGAGTTTCCTAGCCCTTGTGGGTTTCCTCTGCTTCCTGAGTCGGGGGGGCCTCCTTGGAGAAGCCGTGTTTGACTCGGGAGAACAGCTGCACAACACGGAAGGCGTTTCCTTCTCTAGGTTATTTTTGCCTCGCTGACCCTGCCCAGTGGCTGAAAGGAGGTGTTCCGTGTGTGCAGGGAGGGAGGGGCGTGTGTGCGTGCACACGCGCTTCTGCGTTTATCAGATTTAAACTTGCACAGTGAGAGCTAGTGAAGGGCGAAAGGCGTGAAGATCAAAAGAGAAAGGAACAGAAGTCGTCTGACACGTGTAGACATGAATAAAAGCAGAATGCCGCTTCCCGAGGCATTACTAGCCCGAGCAGGGCTACACCCGGGGGTGAGCTTGAACCGCAGATCTTCGCAGAACACGATGAGGAATTTTTAAAGATGCCATAAGCGGCCAGGCGCAGACCCAACCAACTTTCACGTATCGTAGATAACACTTGCTGAGATTCAGCAAGAGGGTAATTTTCTGGGTGTGTAATTAGTTGACAGATGTCCACTCCCACCTTCAACAGTCTGCGTGAGCCCTGTCCGTCCCCACTGCCCATCCCGGCACACGTCACACAGCCAAGGTCTGTGCAAATACAGACTGGATAAGCTGACACCCAAGCCGCCTTGGGGTCGGACAGACCAAAGTCACCCTTGCCAAAACTTACCAACAGGGCACCGTGTACTGACAAGTTTCCCCATCCGGGTCGCTTCCAGGCTGGGAGCAGGCCTGTCACTCGTGAAGGCAAACTCCCCATCCACTGTCCCCACTCCCGTGCCTACAGACAGACCTGGAGGACATCACGGACCTCATAGAGATGCGGGAGGAAGTGTCCAGCCTGGTCATCGGGGCCATGAAGGTGGCCGAGGAGTACCAGGACTCCTTCGAGAGATACTCCTACCTCTGGGTGGATGACCTTCAAGAGTTCATGAAGAACTTCCTCATCTTTGGGCACGCACCCACCCCCGAGGAGCTGGACACCCGGATAGACGACACCATCCCCAAGACGCCACCCAGCCTGGCTCAGTTTCAGCTGCAGGTGTGTGTGTGTGTGTGTGTGTGTGTGTGTGTGTGTGTGTGTGTGTGTGTGTGTGTGTGTGCTGGAGCCGCGTGTGCTGCCCTCGCCCGTGTCACCCCTCCCGAGTCTTCTGGGAGATGACGGCGGTGCCTGATCTGAAACCTGGGTGGCATGATTGCTACGTGGGTTTTACAGTTGCTCGGGACTGGTCCAGTCAGGAGGAGTGGCGTACAATACCACACCCACGCCACACGGGGGAGCAACAGTGTCCCAGGAGGCAGAGCAAGGCTGGGCTTGTCCCTTGCCCCCTGGCTCCTCTAGGCTGGTGGTGGGAATGGCTTCCGTTGCCTTGGGAGGTTCCTGTGCTGAGCTGCCTGGTGTCCCGTCCCACGGTGATGAGGACAGGGACTGTTGATCCTGAGTTTAAGACTCCATGAAAGCCCAGTAAGAGGTGCTTGGGAGCCCTGCACTGAGGGCAGCTCCAGGCTAGGGTTTGCTGTCCAGGAATCAGCCGCCAGGGTCAGCCAGGGCCCAGGTGTAAGGGCACCTGGGATCCGGGAAATGAAAACAGTCCCCGCAGATCTCCTAATTGAGGGAGTGAGAGAGAACCCTCCCCGCTCCCCTGCAGGTGAGAGGGAGCCAAGTCACCAAGATGGGGCGGCCCGGCGTGGGCAAGCAACTCCCATGAGTTGAGGGGCACCTTTTGGGCGTCCTCTGATGCCCCCAAAGCCCTGCTGTTGTTGTCATCCAATGCCACCCCCCCCCGTCCGACTGTCCCCTCGTAGGGGTGGGGCGGAAGGCTCCCTGGGTTTTGGGACAAGGACAAACAGGTGGTGTAGGTTGCCTTGGCACCCTGGGCCACCTGGCTGCCCTCCACGGCCAAGCCGTGCTGGCTCTTGGGGAGGCATGGCGGCCATGGCTGACGGAGCCCATGGCTGTGTTGGGCAGATCGACTCCTACGAGAAACTGTACGAGGAGGTGTCCAGGTGTGAGAACACCAAGGTTTTCCACGGCTGGCTGCAGTGTGACTGCCGCCCCTTCAAGCAGGCCTTGCTCAACACCATCAAGCGCTGGAGCTTATTGTTCAAGCGGTACCTGAGCACCCACGTCACCAACAGGTGAGACTACAGCCCGCTGCTGTGACACCCAAGTCTCCCCGGGGACCTGGACAGCCTGGGGAGGGGGAGGCAGAGGGGGGCGGGGAAGGCGGGAAAGTGGGGACTTCGAGAATGGGGCCTGGCACCTCTGCGTGTGGTTTGGTGTGTGACCAGCTCGGGGCGGGTAGGAGGGTGAAGCCAAGGATGGGTGGGGGGAGGGGAAGCAGTACCCCTCGTGCTCCGTGAGGAAGCCCCGGGGCTGGCAGGAAGGCTGTCCCGGCCAGTAATGGTAGGAAGACTCTAGGGACTGGGGAGATGGCCTTGCTGCCTGCAGAGGGACCCGGACTGAGTCCCCAGCACCCACACGGGTCAGCACCAGCTGCAGCGCCAGGAGCGTGAGCTCCAGCTGAGCCCATCTGGGAGGGGGTGGGGTCCGCTGGCCGCTCTGAGCTGTGGCCTCATGGTAGGGGCTCAGGAATCAGCCCAGTACAAGCTGCTAGGATCTTTGTGTGGCATCTAGGCTGAGGGGGCCACGTGGGGTCAGCGGCTGCCCCTCTCCAGGCGGCCCCTCGAGTGGCGGTTCTAGGGTCCTCACTGAGTTGACACTGAGGGAGCACCCAAGGATGTGAGCGCCTCCCACAGAGAGCGCCTTGTCCTGCAGCCTGGCTGACCTGGAAAGCTTCATGACCGTCACCCGATCGGGCCTCAAGAAGCCACTCAAGGAGGGGGACTACGACGGCTTGGTAGAGGTGATGGGGCACTTGATGAAGGTCAAGGAGAGGCAGGTGGCCACGGACGGCATGTTTGAGCCCCTGAAGCAGACCATCGAGCTGCTCAAGACCTACGGGGAGGAGATGCCGGAGGAGACACACCTGAAGCTACAGGTGGGTCCTGGAGGATCCGTGCGGGAGCGGCGCGCCTGGTCACCGCGGGCTCCACGCCTGCCAGACTCTGGATTCCCAGGGGTACTGAGGCGGGAGGTGGAGCCCTCCCGGAGGACAAGGCCAAGGTGGTCCCCAAGGCTGAGGGGGAATATCCTACTGATGGTTTCGTGGGGCTAAAACCACCTCCACGTCCCTACATCTCCTGCTGAGTGTGGAGGTCACTTCCGGTGCTGGGTGTGAGAGCTAATTAATGGAGGCGAGGCAGAGAGAGCTCCCGGAGATGAGTAAATGAAGAAGCGGCCAGGGACTGTCTACACCCCGGCATTCACTGCTCACATGACATCCGTTGTCAACACGGAGGAAGCCTGTGCTGCTGGGCTATGGGCTGTGCAGGACGGGGCGAGTCCCTCTGGGGAGCCTCCAAGGAGGCCCTGTCCTCCCCAGTCTCCTCCCAAGCCCATCGGCTAGCCTCCCTCCCTTCCTCCCTCCCCCACTCCCTCCCTCCCTTCCTCCCTCTGTCCAGCCACACCAGGTCCATTCCCCTGCCTGTATGTACCAACTGTAGCCACCGTCCAGACCCATGACTCAGGAGTAGCAAGGGACAAGGAACCACAGGCCCACGGCCCCGCCGTGCTGTCATCCAGGGTGGCCCTGCGCTGTAGAGTCGGGCCCCAGAGTCGGTAGGCTCTGACCCTTAAGCGGCAGGGCCTGTGCCTGCCCCAGCCAAGCCACCCTGCTGGAGGTCCAGTTGAAGCCATGGGGCTCGAAGCACATGTGGCCGGTTCCTAGGGGCTCCCGGGCCACGCAAGGGGGGCAACTGGGGTGTGAGGGTGCCTCACAAGGTGGGCTGAGTAGGACGGACTGCCTCATCCTCCTTAGGGAGGTTCAACGGCCTGGACGTTACCACCTGTTCTCTAACTTCTGATGCCAGGCCCTGAGCCCAACCGGCCGTGGGACACACACAGACCTCTGCCTGGGCGAAAGGATTAAAACTGCACACTGGTTTACAGGCACACACACACACACACACACACGAAAGTACACAGGTGGCACACAGGCACTTAACACAGGCACACGCATGCGCAAATGCATACTCGGGCCCACAGTCATCTGTACACACATAAAAACACACGCACGCACACACAGTGTACAGCGTGGACAGGTTCAGGCCGATGAACACAGTGAAGGGTAGGAAAGGCTCTGGCTGGCAGGGGACACAGCCTCCCGGTCCCCTCCACTCCGGGCTGAGTGGGGATGCCTCGAACACCTTGCGCTGCTCTAGAAGCCTCTCCTGAGCCTGCAGTCATCTCACGGCAGAGCCTAAAAGGGGAGACGCGGGGGACTGGGGAGATGGCCTTGCCGGCTCCTGCAGAGGGACCCGGACTGAGTCCCCAGCACCCACACGGCAGCTCACCATTGCCTGTAACTCCAGTCCCGAAGGGGATCTGGCGCCCTCCCTCAACCTCTCCGGGCAGGGCTCGCGTGCGGCGGGTACACACGTACCGACCGTGCAGGCAAAGACTCGGACGCATTAAATACCTTTTAAAAAAGAAAAATAGCTCCAGAGGCAAGATGGAAGGAGACCTCCCTGGCCTTTGCCTCCCACAGGAGCTGCCGGAGCACTGGACCAACACCAAGAAGCTGGCCATTCAGGTGAAGCAGAACGTGGCGCCCCTCCAGGCCAACGAGGTCAACATCCTGCGGCGCAAGTGCCAGCAGTTTGAGGTAGCCTGAGAGGCGGCCCAGCCCAGGGCCGGGGGCATGTGTGGGTGCAGCGCGTGGCCGGGATGCTCTGAGCCAAGCATGCCCCCTCCCTCGCTCTCTCACAGATCAAGCAGCACGAATTCAGGGAAAGGTTCAGGCGCGACGCCCCCTTCTCCTTCAGCGACCCCGACCCCTACAAATCCCTGAATAAGGTACCGAGGCCCTGTGGTGAGATCCCCGTGGCGGCTCTGGGAACCTCTGGGAGGGCTGGTCTCTTCTCAAGTCCTCACTCCCGCAGACAGGGACATGGGTTAAGTGGGCCTGCTGAGAGTGTGTGTGCATGTGTGTGCGTGCGTGTGTGCATACATGTGTAAGCGTGGACATGCGGAATTGAGCCTCCCCCTCCTAGCCACACAGCCTCCACTCTATGGCACTGCTTAGAAAGCTATTTCCGGGGCCCCGCCTGCTGTCCACGGCCACACAGGCGTCCCCTAAGCCTCACAGACAGCTCTCACAGACCTGAATCTGTAGAGAACAAGCTGCGTCTTACTGCGTCCCAGCCGGGGGGGGGCCGGGCGTCACGGAGGGGGCAGCCGCCATCTTGGCTGGAGCATTGCTCTCCTCGAAGGAGACGGGAAGGTGCGGCTGGATGACAGAGAAGATTTACTGGGACATGGTGGAAAAAGAGAGAGAGAGAGAGAGAGAGAGAGAGAGAGAGAGAGAGAGACCAAGAAGGCAGGAATGGGGGCAGGGCAGGGCACATAGTTCTGGGGACACCCAGGCTGGGGCAGCCCGCTGATGTCCCCTCCCCTCCCATCCCAGCAACAAAAAAGCATCTCGGCCATGGAGAGCGTCATGGACGCATTGTGCAAGTCGGCCAGCCTGTTCGAGGTCACGGTGCCGGACTACAAGCAGCTGAAGGCCTGTCACAGGGAGGTCCGCCTGCTGAAGGAGCTCTGGGACATGATTGTCATGGTGAGTCAGGCTAGGCCCTGGGGGATGCGGGGTAGGGACTCTGCAGGCGGCTATAATGGCACCAAGAGGGGACCTGGCTATACGGACGCATCAGCGGCAGCTTCCCAAAGGACCCCAGCTGGGGCCACTTCCTAGAGTCCTTTGCAGCTGGGGCCACTTCCCAGAGTCCTTTGCAGCTGGGGCCACTTCCCAGAGGCCTTTGCAGCTGGGGCCACCTCCCAAAGGCCTTTGCAGCTGGGCTCAGCTCTGTGCAGTATCATCTCCCTCCTTCCCACCTATCTTCCCTCAGACTTCCTCCAATCCATTCTTCTTCATAAGATCCTGTCTGCTTTCATGGCTTGCGTGCGTGCCTGTGTGCATGTGCGTGTGTGTGTGTGTGTGTGTGTGTGTGTGTGTGTGTGTGTGTGTGTGTGGCCTATTGAGTATAATTTGGGTTGCTTGCCCAAGCACAGGTGTAGGTAGAGTCTTCCTGTCCCAGGCAGTGGTGGTGCACGCCTTTAATCCCCAGCACTCCGAAGGCGGAGGCAGGAGGTTCTCTGTGAGTTCGAGACCAGCCTGGTCTACTACTGGGCGAGTTCCAGGACAGCCTCCAAAGCTACACAGAGAAACCCTGTCTTGAAAAGCCAAAACAAACCAAAACGAAAACAAAACAGAAAGACCATGTCTCACGTGGTTCTTGTGGGCTGTGAGTTCACAAGCACGATTGTGACCGCCACGTCCAGAAGACAGGAAGGAATGCACACCTGCAACCCCAGCACCAGGGAGGCAGAAACAGCAGGAAGCTCTAGACAGGGCCAGCCTGGGCTACATAGCAGGCTCCAAGCCAGCCAGAGCCATGAGTCCATTAGAGCCGCCATAGAGACACACCACACACCCTGGAAGCTCACAGGCCATGGATGGTGGTGCTTCTTACCAACCTGGGGAGTCCAAAATCCACACAGACTTGGAGACAGATGAGGGCAGCAGCTGCCGTAGCAGAAATCACTGAAGGGAGCCTGGCCCAGGAGACGGGAGGGCAGCTCAGGAAAAGGCGTCAAAAACCAACCAGCCAGGACATGCATGGTGACGGGATGCGGAGAGGTCTCAGATCTCCCCGAGAGGCAGGGTCACCGAGCCCTGTTCAGGTGAAGGTGTCAAGTCTCCTGTCCTCAGGTTCACATCCTGCAGGCACTGGGTCTTTCTGGGTCACACGTTCTTGCCAAGTCCAGGCCTCTCCTCCTCCAGCGCCCGTGTCTACAGTCTGATGAGCCTGGATGGAAGGGCACAGGCTCTCGGCATCTCCCGGTTCCATTCCTGGTGGAAATTTTTGTTTGTCTAGTGTGTCTCTTACTGTCCGAATCGAGGTTTCTCCTATGCTTTTCTTATTAGTCAGTATAAGCTCGGTTATCGTGCTATAACAAGCATCCCAAACACTGAGCAACAGCAGCAGCAAAAATGTTATTTCTCACACTCCGGTTCCAGGCAGCTGTCTGTCAAAGGCAAGCTCAATATTGCAGGCTTCGTATCGATGCGACTGCCAAGGCAGGCAAAGAGCACATTGAGTCAGGAAGCGGTGGTCGGGCCCTCCCGAAGTCCAAGAAGTGCACAGATCCTGGAGGAGTTTGAATTGCTGCCGAGTAGCGTGGTTACAGTTTCCTTTTTAATGGAGTTTGTCTTAACTTAGCACTTTGCTGGTTTGTTTTTGTTTTTTTACGAGACAGGGTTTCTCTGTATTGCTTTGGAGGCTGTCGGTCCAGCCCAGCCTCGAACTCACAGAGATGCGCCTGCCTCTGCCTCCCGAGTGCTGGGATTAAAGGCACGCGCCACCACTGCCCGGCCAATTTAGCACTTAAAAAAAAATAAAAATAAAAATAAACCTAAGACAACACATCATGGCTTATGTTCCCCACGCTCTGCAGCCGCAGATGGAGCCAGGTGCTGGGGGGGCGGAGGGGGGTGACGCGTGCTGCTCTCACTGCAGGTCAACACCAGCATCGACGACTGGAAGACCACCAAGTGGAAGGACATCAACGTGGAGCAGATGGACATCGACTGCAAGAAGTTCGCCAAGGACGTGAGGTCTTTGGACAAGGAGATGAAGACGTGGGATGCCTTCGTGGGGCTGGACAACACCGTGAAGAACATGATCACCTCTCTGCGCGCGGTGAGCGAGCTGCAGAATCCCGCCATCCGGGACCGCCACTGGCAGCAGCTCATGCAGGCCACCCAGGTACAGGGCTCGATGCAGGGGCCAGAGGGAGGGATGGCAGCCGGGCCAGCCCGAGCTGCCCGAGCGGTGGAGGTGGGGTGGCTTGTCAGTGCGTGAGGTCGACAGAGCCGGGCGTGGGCTCCGGGCTCGTTCCTGCCTGCAGCCCTGCTGGCGTTTCTCTCTAAGTCTTTGACTTCATGCAGGTACACAACGTATTTTGGTCACCCTCACTCCCCCTGTTACTATCCCTCAGCCCCTCCCACCGAGCCCTCTCTTCTCCCCCAAGCCCCCCCCCTTATTTTCCCGTCTTTTGTTTGCTTCTTTTATTTGTCATGACTGAGTTCACCTAGGGGTGCTTCCTTGAGCGCGGGTATAGGGGTTATTTAACTAGAGCAAAGGTAACTTACCAGTGGCCACGCCTCTGAAGAAAAGGACTCTCCTTCCCCCAGCATCCATTGCTTGCCGAGGGGCCTTGCGATCCCCTCTCCCACCATGCTGGAATTTTTGCTGGCTTGACCAGCTGTGAGTCACTGCGCTAACCACTGCCCACTGCGCACAGAAGCTTCTCTGGCTCCTGCTGAGAGAGCAGCACTGGTCTCTGAGTGTAATCACAAACACTTAGAAGGCCGTGTGACACTGCATCCACTTAGCAAAACAACAGTAGTGTGTCAACCCCATGGCCTGTGGCCTCCCCAGCCATGGACTTCTGACCAGGTCTATAATAACAGACATAAGCTCCCTGCCCCCATTGTGAAGCAGGGCCTCAAATCCTACCAAACCTGGTTGGTTAGGCCACAGCAATTGCTCCTGCGAACGCATCTTGTCTGGCAGGTTGGCGTTTGCTGCCATGGCCTTGAAACTCATCTTCAGAGGCCCTGTGTGCTAATGTCACTCCAGGCCCCGGAATCGCATAGCCGGTTCTGATTGTCATTGAGTGTCCATATGGCACAGGGAGGCTTCGGACGATGAGCTGTGCAGAGGCACAGGTAGTGATTCGCGGGACCAGGCTCAAACGTAGGTTAAATATAATGTATTTCGGGGAGAAGTCACTTGCACCAGGAGCAGATGGCTGCCGTAGGTTCCCGCTCTAAGGATCCACACTGGCTGGCTGCCCCTATGACTCGACCAGATGTAAGAGAGAGCCACCTGTCCCCACCCCAGACCTAACTGCCCCCCACCCCTTCACATCCATACCTGTGACCACGCCCAAACAGGCGTGGTCTGCGCTGCGGGTGTGGGCGGGGTGGATATCTCACTACAGAGCTGCTCCTCTGACACCCCTTTGTATCTGAGCTCAATTCCCAGCACCCCAACATTTCCAAGGATATCCCCCAGGCATCGGTCCTGGTCTCAGCACACACAGAAAGCAGGCAGGAGCCCAGCTGCCAACGGTGAGCAAACTGTACCCAGCAGCTGCTCCACCCGACTCTACAGGCCAGCAAGGCACACACAGGAAACCTGGTCCCTGCCCCGCCCTCTGGCCATCAGTGACAAAAGAATGGTGTGCGCTGTAGGAGAGGGACGTCCTCTCGTCTGTCTCTTTACTCTTCTTAGGCTGGCTGAGCCCCGTTCATCGTCCTGATAGAACTCATCTACTGGAGGCCTGTCTTAGGGTTTCCACTGCTGTGAAGAGACACGTGACCACGGCAGCTCTCATAAAGGAAAGCATTTAACCGAGTGGCTTGCAGTTCAGAGGCTCAGTCTAGTTGCATGCTGTCACGGTGGGACGTGGCAGCATGCAGGCAGACGTGGCACTGAAGAAACAGGAAGTGGTCTGACAACACTGGGCGGTGTCCTGAGCACAGGAGACCTCAAAGCCCCGCCCCCCCCACAATGGCATGCTTCCTCCAACAAGGCCACACCCACTCCAACAAGGCCACACCTCTAATCGTGCCACTCCCTTTGGGGGGCCATTTTCTTTTAAACCACCGCATTCTACTCCCTGGCCCCCAAAGGCTTGTAGCTGTATCATAAAGCAAAAAATACATCCAGTCCAACCTCCAAAGTCCCCATAGTCTATCACAGTCTCAAACTTATTGAAAAGTCTAAAGTCCAAAATCTCTTCTGAGATTCGTGCAATCTCTTAACTGTAATCCCCTGTAAAATCAAATTTCGCAAAAAGGAAATCACGCACTTCCAACGTATGCACAGGATATACTGTTACCACTCCAAAACATAGAGAAGAGAGGATAGTGAGGAAATACTAGACCTGCAGCAAGACTGGAAACCAGCTGAGGAAACGTGAGACTCTGTAGTAACAGGGTTTCTTCCCCACAGTAAGTTTCTCTGCCAACACAGTGAGCCAGACGGAGCCAAACTGAAAAACAGCATAGCAGCAGGTTTCTTGAGCAAAGCTACTCCCGGGCGAGTTCACCGGTCCCAGAGATCAAGGCTGGAGAAGTCACACACCCAGGCCAGGGCAGGAAAGTTTTATAGATGGTGGGCAAGGGGCGATGACACGTCTGCCACAAGCTGGGTTTGTGCCCAAGTACGGTCGAAAGCCCAGCACCTAGGCAGGTGCTTGGGCAGCTGGTGGCATCAGGGAAGGAAGTTGCAATAGTCTCCAAGAATGCGGAACTTGGCTTTTTGGTGCCTTTACTGTATTCAGAGACTGTTCTGGCAGGTGGGATTTGGGGAGAGGGAGAGAAGGAATGGGGATTCCCAGACCATGCAGGGGTGAACAACTGAACATGTTTCTCCATATCAAAACACTCTTCAGATCTCCAACTCCTTTCAGCTTTGCCGACTGCAACACAACTTCTGTCTCTTGGGCTGGTCCCGCTCCCTGTCAGCAGCTCTGCTCAGCAGATGCCCCACAATTCTGGCATCTCTAACATCTTGGGATCTCCAAGGCAACCTGGGCTTCAGTTTCACACACTGGTCTTTCTGGGTCTCCATTCAGGGGCCAGGCTGACGCATGCCTGGCCTCCACAGCTTTCCCCGGTTGTAGAAGGAAATTCTATAATGCCTTTCTTCTCTCCTTGACTCTAAAACCACAGCCACTCTGAGTCTGAAACTACCAAGTTCTGCTGCTTGCCGGGGCTGCAACACGGCCCCCTTGCTCAGTTGCATCTTCACCAGATTTTTGTTTTCCATAGTTTCCTTCACTGCCTGAGCTTGGCTGTTCTAAAATATTCTCTGCAGACCAGGCTGGCATCAAACTCTGAGATCTGCCAGCCTCTGGCCTTCCCAGTGTTGGGATTAAAAGTGTGCTCCACCACACCCAGCTCTAAGCTTTTCTTTAGTTTCTTTTCACAAGTTGGAAACTTCGTTGGGTGGCATCTCGCCCTGAGGTCACCACTCCCTTTATTCCATTTCTTTCTTTCTTTCTTTTTTTTTTTTTTTTTTTTTTTTTTGGTTTTTCAAGACAGGGTTTCTCTGTATTGTTTTGGAGGCTGTCCTGGAACTCTCTCTGTAGACGAGGCTGGCCTCGAACTCACAGAGATCCGCCTGCCTCTGCCTCCCAAGTGCTGGGATTAAAGGCGTGCGCCACCAACGCCCGGTTTATTCCATTTCTTAATCCGTTTATTTCTCCGAACACAGGATTTAAGCTCCATTCCGCTTCCTTGTTTCCCTTTTCTCAATCTGTATGTGTTATGTTTTTATTTTCTCAGCTTGTTCCTTTTCATTATAAATCTTCATTAAAGTTAACACGAATAACCACACAGCCGACTCTATACTAGGCTGCTTTGATATTTCCTGTCAACAGAATTAATCCCAAACTCTTAATTGTAGCCTCAGGCGGTTCTTCAGACAAAAGCAGCCGCTTTCTTCACCAAAGTATCACAAGAACGATCTCTAGGCAGCCTACTAAAATTCTCCTCTGAAACCTCTCAAGCCAAGCCTCACAGTTCATCAAGCCACACCCGGCGCCACTGTCGCCCACGCTCCTACGAGTGTGGCCCACTAAGCATCACTTAAAGCAGCCAACTGCTTCCCCAACCCACAGTCCCCCCAGGTCCACATTCCTTTAGACAAAAGTAGGATCAGGCCCATCACAGAAGTAGCCCACTCTTGGTACCAACTTCTGTCTTAGGGTTTCTATCGCTGTGAAGAGACGCATGATCATGGCAACTCCTATACAGGAAAACATTTTATTGGGGCTGGCTTAAAAGTTCACTGATCATCATCATCATCATCATCATGGTAGACATGGCGGCACCCAGGCAGACACGGTGCTGGAGAAGGAGCTGAGAGTTCTACATCTTGATCTGCAGGCAACAGGAAGGGAGCTGAGACATACTGGGCATAGCTTGAGCATATGTGAGACCTCAAAGCCCACCCCCACAGTGACACAAGGCCACACCTCCTAATAATGGCATTCCCTTTGTGGGCCATCTTCTTTCAAACTACCTCAGGGTGCACACAACAGGAGTTTTGTGAGCATGCCCACTGCCCACAGAGCCCAGAACCTTGGAGGGGGTGCAGCAGCCCTGGCTCTAACTATCATCTCAGCAGGCACATTTTAGAGAAGTGTGGAGACCGCAGAGCAGGGCCGGGGAATGTGGGTGACTCGCAGGTTTGGGCTACAGAGTGGCCCACAAGCAGATGCCTTCTATAAGCTCCCACAGTGCCCTTGCTAGGAGAGTGAGGTGAGGAGTCATCTTGGGTAGTTCCCAGAGACTCGGGGCACCTTGATAAATCGATGCCCTGCCTGGAAGCAAACAACCAAGGGCAGAGAACTTTTCCTTCAGTCCAGTGTGTAGCGGTGAGCTGTCCAAGCCATCATCACTGCGCTCCAAATGGCAAGTGTCATAGCACCTGGAAGAGGAAGCCACATCCAAGAGGAGGGCAGAGAAAAAGGCACTAGATACGGACTTGCCTGGGCCTTAGTAGCTAGCCGCCAGGAAAGACACAAGGACAAGGACAAGCGGGCTGGGGTGGAACGGACTCGGATGGATGAAGGAAGCACGGGAGCTAAGGCTGGGAGACAGAGACAAGGCAGGAAGCACAGTGTGGGTTCAAAACCCATGTTCCTGCCACGAGGCCCCACCAGGGCAACCCTCCTAGAAGGGTCAGACCCGGGTCTCAGAGTGCCTGCCTGCTCCCAAGAGGGCGGCTCCCGGGCTGTAAGACCCGAAATTTTCCAGACTCTAGCACCCCACCCGAACATGCTGGGAGAGATCCCAGGGGCTCTGACAAGCAACCACCATGCCCTGCTAAATCAGGAGGGTGGCACGTGGCAGCAATCCCAGCACTGGAGAGGCTCAGTGAAAAGGTTTGAGAGTTCAAGGCCAGCCTGGGTTGTGTAGTGATATAGCCATCTCAGGAAGAATAAAAGTAAATGGGAATAAAACGTCCTGCCGAAAGATGGACGGGACACTTAAGGGCCCAGTGGGACGTGTTGGGTATTTCCCTGAAGGTGATTAACTGTGCCGTCAGTGGGTGAGCCGTTTGTTGCCTGGCTCAGAACCCATGCTCAGAAACCTGCCTCTGTGACCCTGAGCATGTGGACTTGGGCATGTGCACTGTGGGCAGCTTCGGCAACAGAGCCCTGCTCTAGCTCAGTCCTGAAAACGTCAGTGAGGAGGCTCCAGAGCCAGAGTCCTCCCGGCCACTCCCAGCTTCCAGGGCTCCGTGAGTCGGCTGGTCCGGGGCCGCGTCCTTCCCTGGTCTGTCTCCAGATCTGTGGCCTCCTTCAGCTGTGACTTCCTTCTCCTGTCACCTGACTTGGGGTGCACCTGGAGATCCAGGACGACCTCATCCTGAGATCCTCAACATCTGCAGATCGCGCCCCGAGACCCTAAGTGAACTTGCGCGCTGGTGTCTGTACACTTTGCACCCGACTCCCGAGGGTTCTGGGGCGAGGTTTAGAGGAGGAGCTAGCCTGAGTCACGGAGCCCCAGAGTCGCAGGTCAAAGCACGGCCCGGTGACCCGTTTCCTGCCTGACCTCACACGAAACGTGCCTGTGTTTCCCCCAGGTGAGGTTCGAAATGTCCAGCGAGACCACACTGGCCGACTTGCTGCAACTGAACCTCCACAAGTATGAGGATGAGGTCCGCAACATTGTGGACAAGGCCGTAAAGGAATCAGGGATGGAGAAGGTAGGCACCATTGCTACGGTGTGTGTGTGTGTGTGCATGTGTGTGTGTGTGTGTGTGTGTGTGTGTGTTTCTCCCCCAGAGGATCCGGGGACTGTCTGATGGTCTCAGTGACTGGGCTAGGGCGGTGGGGGCTGACCTCAGACAGCCTCTGGTTCTGGCGACCTTGCCTGCAGAGCTCAAGACAGAAGTCACTCACTACCCGTAGAACACGGCATCCTCAGACAGCCCCATTCCCGGCTGTTCTCTCCCAAGCACACAACAGAACACTGGGAGGAGGCTCCAGGGGCCCCACTCACCAGGGAATGAATCTCCTGATCTATGAAACGGATCAGGGTTTGCTGAGGTGGCTCAGCAGTCATGCGGGCTTTACTGCTCTGCCGGAGGACCAGAGTGCAGACTCATCAGCCTCAGCGGGCGGCCCACTGCTGCCTATGACTCCAGCTCCAAGGGGCCTGACGCGCTCCTCTGGCCCCCATGGGCACCCAGCACACACAGGTGCACGCTCACACTCACACACACATACATAAGTAGCTGGGCCGTGGTGACACACACTTTAATCCCAGCACTCAGGACGCTGGCAGGTGGATCTCTGTGAGTTGGAGGCCGGCTAGGGCTACAGAGTGAGGCCCTGTCTCAAAAACCCTAAACAAGGATGGAGGTCGGCATGAACTTAGCTCCTGCTGTTTCAAAACATGCCTTCAGCTCAGAAGTGGGGCGTGCGCCCCAGCTTTGTTCCGAGTCCCCAGGAGCTTTGAGCCCTCCCTGAGCTCTGACACCCCGGAGGAGGCTCGATGCTTGTGAATTAAGCTACTTTTTCTCATTGTGGTGACAAAATGCCTGACAAGCAGTTTAAAGAAGGAAGGAAGGGTTTGTTCTGGCTTACACGGCGTGCGTGTGGCGGTGGGGAGTGGGGGGGCAGGTGCAGTCCCTCATCAGGAAGGCGTGGCAGCAGGAGCGGGAAGCTGCCAGTCACAGTGAACCCACGGGGAAGCAGAAAAGGAGCCCCGAGTGGGGCAGCCTCCCGAAGGTTACACAGCCACCCCAAACCGCAGCGCCGGGTAGGGACCAAGTGCGCAGACCCGAGGGTGGGTGGGTGACACTCGACATTCAGACGCCCCCCCCCTTGTCTCTGCTTCCCTGACAGATACTGAAGACCCTGGACAGCACCTGGACCACCATGGAGTTTGAACACGAGCCACACCCGCGGACCGGCACCATGATGCTCAAGTCGGACGAGGTGCTGGTGGAGACCCTGGAGGACAACCAGGTGCAGCTGCAGAACCTGATGATGTCCAAGTACCTGTCCCACTTCCTGAAGGAGGTGACCAGCTGGCAGCAGAAGCTGTCCACCGCGGACTCGGTCATCTCCATCTGGTTTGAGGTGCAAAGGACCTGGAGCCACCTGGAGAGCATCTTCATCGGCTCGGAGGACATTAGGGCCCAGCTGCCGGAAGATTCCCAGCGCTTTGACAGCATCGACCAGGAGTTCAAGGTGAGCCCAGCCGCTGGCTGGGTGTTCCCAGAAACAGCTCCCACCGCTGGGGACGAGAGCGGGCTCCGACACCTCTGTCCCCTGCACCCCCTCTCCTTCTCCTCCCAGGCCCTGATGGCAGATGCCGTGAAAACGCCAAACGTGGTGGAAGCCACCAACAAACCGGGTCTCTATGACAAGCTGGAGGCACTGAAGAAAAGGTGGGTGTCCTTCCGTCCGTCCGTCCATCCGTCCATCCGTCCATCTGTCCATCCGTCCCCCGCATGTCCCTCCGAGGCGTTGATGGGGCACAGCCGTGTGCCACCTTCTATGCAAAGGCACAGGCTGGCAATATCCCGCCCCTGAGGTGGATTAGGAGCCCTGTGTGTGGTTCCGAGCCGGTGAGGAACGGGAGCACCCGGTTAAGAGTTTCTGAGTTCATGTGGGAACCGTGGAGAAAAGGCTGGATGCCTTTCAGCAATCTGAGAGGACGGGCTGGCCAGCAGCACCACAGAAAAGGACCGAGCAGCCCCTTCTCCCTCCTCTGCTCTTAGCTTGGCCGTGTGTGAAAAGGCGTTGGCTGAATATTTGGAGACAAAGAGACTGGCTTTCCCAAGGTTCTATTTTGTCTCCTCGGCTGACCTGCTGGACATCCTTTCCAACGGAAACGACCCTGTGGAGGTAGACAGGGGCCCCCAGCTGTGTAGACCCCTGCACCTAGGAGCCCTGGGCGGGAGGAGAAACCCACCACGCTCTCTGCACGAAAGTGTGGCTCTGGGCAAGTCACCTGACCCATCTCTGCTCGTTTTCCTTGTACGGAGTGGGTGAGAAGTTGGGGGCTTCGTGGGCATGTGAAAGGCACCCCGAGCTGTTCTGGGCTGTTCTCCATGCGGCCCTCATAAACTTTGCCCTAATGCACACCCTGGGAATCTAGGGAGACACTTCCTGGGGCCCATCTGGAAGAGAGGGTGATCGTGAGCTAGGGGGAGAGAAACGGCTGTGTTTCGATTCGATAATAAAACCAGAGAGTAGGCACAGAGGAGGGGACGCGCCGGGGAACCCGGATGGAGGCTCTGGTAACCGTGTCCCGCCCCAGGCCAGGTCTCGCCTGAGCCACACCCAACATCAGTCAAAGATGGGGCAAACGGTCCCAGAACAAAAGAGAAAGGAAAGATAGAAAGAGAGAGGGCTTAGCATCCCTGGATGGATGGAGCTGGGAGCCATCAGCAACTCCAGCGTCCCTCCCCTAGGTGAGCCGCCACCTGTCCAAACTCTTCGACAGTCTGTGTAAGCTGAAGTTCCGTCTGGACGCCAGCGGGAAACCACTCAAGTTTGGGCTGGGGATGTACAGCAAGGAAGACGAGTACATGGACTTTGACAAGGAGTGTGACCTCTCGGGCCAGGTGAGCCCGGGCGTCAAGCAGCGAGCCCAGGGCAGGGGGGGGATGGGTGGTACGGGCTGTGTGCGGTCATTTTTCTCATCTGCCTCTCAAGGAAATGTTTGGGAACCTTTTTTTTTTTTTTTTTTTTTTTTCGAGGCAGGGTTTCTCTGTGGCTTTGGAGGCTGTCCTAGAACTCGCTTGGTAGTCCAGGCTGGTCTCAAACTCACAGAGATCCGCCTGCCTCTGCCTCCCGAGTGCTGGGATTAAAGGCGTGCGCCACCAACGCCCAGCGACCGGGAACCTCTTTTTTTATGATTTATAAGTGTGTGTGTGTGTGTATGTGTATGGTATGTGTGTGTGTGTGTCATGGTGTACAAGTGGAGGTCAGAGTATAGCGTTCAGAAGTCGGCTCTCTCCTTCCACCTTGGCGGCCCCAGGGACTGAACTCGTGTTGCCAGGCTTGGCAGCCAGCACTTTTATCTGCTGAGCCCTCTCCCTGGCCCCAACTCGGAGACTACATCCGTAGAGCCCACAAAACAGCCTTCCTATGGTGTGTGGCATGCATCTGGGGCGGGACAAAGGAAGAAGGAGGAGACAGGTTTGCCTGCATCACCGAAGTGTTATGGTTTCCGCAGAACCGGGCCATCCCATCTGAACCACCAGTCCCAGCCCCGTCAGTCCCAGCCCTGTCACAGGAAGCGGCCACGGTGCATGGGGGGGGTTCGGGGCAGTCTTGGGGTCCTGGCTCCTCCCGGCAAGCACACTGCCCACACTCGGGCTGTCTGATTCCTGCCCATCTTCCGACCCAGCCAGCCACTGAGGGGGTAAACCAGAAACTCTCAAAAGAATGGGGGAGCGCCAGAGATCAGCGTTTACAGCCAGAGTCTCCCCGGTTTCCTGAGGTCGGGGGCTGTAAGAGGCAGCGTCACACTGCCCCCTTCCGGGTGACTCTGAGCAGTTGCGAGGCCCCCTTATGGGGGCAAGTTCCCCTCATGGTAATGACAATTGAAAAGACAGCCCACCCCCCTCCCCTAGAAGCTGTGCTCCTTCTGTCCCGCTATGGTGCTGGGGGTGGGTCCAGGGCCCCAGGACAGAGTGAGGTGGGCAGTCTCCCGCTGAGGTAGACTTTTTCCTGGATGCCTGCCTGCTCCCTTCTCTGATTTAGGGATAACTGTGTATTCCACAAGATTTTTTGCTTTTGTTAGGGTGTTGTTGGCTTACTAATGTGTTTTGTAAGTGTGTCAGCATTGGGAGCTTTTTTTTACACTTTATCATTTGTGTGTATGTGTGCTTATTATCATTGTACGTGTGCGTGTGTGTGTTCCTAAGTGTGTGTGTGTCACAGCACACGAGCCCAGATTAGAAGGCAGCCTTGTATACTTGGTCCTCTCCTTCCACCTTTACGTGGGTTTGGGGATCCAAACCTGTCGCCAGGCTCATCATGTAGCAACGCCTCTCCCAACTGGGCCGTCTCACTGGCCCCTGGTGGGCCGTCTTCTACCGTTCTGTGAAACCCTTAGCATTCCTGGCCCTGACAGACACGTTTATTGGTGGCCACTGCCTGGACCAAGCTTCCAAGTTCTTGGCGTCTGGTCAGAAGAGTTGAAGGAGCTCACACCAGCACAGAGAGGCCGGGGTGGGGTGGAGGGATGTTATTCAGAAGGAAAACAGAGGCGTAGAGTAGAGAGAAGCACGGCCAGGGCGGCCGGCACGATGACGGCGGACCGCTCAGAACGCGGGCCATGTCCCATCGCTTCCTTTCATGGATCCAGTTGGAGGAGGAATCGTTAGGGGGTGGGATGGGGGTGGTCTTCTGCTTTGATTGGCAGGCTCGGGTCACGCAGGCTGTGGTTCACTGCACACCTCCTTTCCCACGTCCCTGGTTCTGATCGTGTGCGTTGCCCCGTCATGCAAACCCATGAGATGGTTAACAGGGGATTTCCCCTTAAAGTTGACTGAGATGACACATTCTGGTGCCCGTGCTCCCAAAACCCGTCCACACCGGTCACCGGTGTGGTGCACGGCTTCTAAACAGTCCACACTGGTCTGGTGCATGGCTTCTAAACCGGCCCACATTGGACTGGCGCACGGCTTCCAGATCCAGGATGTGTTTGGTTCCAGGGAGGAAGCTACTAGCTAGCCACAGATCAGAGGATTGGTGGTTCTGTTTAGAAAGGGGTTCCAGGGAAGCCCAGCACAGCTGGAGTTCCTAGACAGGGGGGGTCTTGGGCCGCTAAGTTCATCCCTACGCTCGCCTGCCTCAGGTGTGCAAACTCACTGGGCTGAGACGCGTGTGGGGGCCTCCCTGCGAGGTCAGCGTGGGCTCTCTGCACAGGTGGAAGTGTGGCTGAACCGCGTGCTGGACCGAATGTGCGCCACGCTGCGCCACGAGATTCCAGAAGCCGTAGTGACGTACGAGGAGAAGCCGAGGGAGCAGTGGATCTTCGATTACCCAGCCCAGGTCTGTGATGGATGGGGTCCACGGCGGTGCAGCTCCACGGGGACCTCGCATGGCTCCAAGACCCCAGGCTAACCCCTCTATGTGTTGGGAGTGGGTTTAGCTGCCTGCCCTGGGGTCTTTTAATTTCTTTTTTCATTTTTATAGGATTTTAAATTTGTTTTCATTTTTATCTTACTTGTATGGGTGTTTTGCCTGTATGCATGTGAGCGCACCACATGTGCACAGTGCCTTTGGAGGTCAGTAGAGGGCGTCAGATCCCCTGGAACTGGACTTAGGGATGGTTATGAACATTTATATGGGTGTTGGGAAGCAAAGCCCAGGTCTCTTGGAAGAGCAGACAGTGCTCTTAACCATTGAGCCGACTGACCAACCTCATGACCTCCTCTTTTTCTTTTATCTTTTTCTTCGGGGGAGGGGGGGAAGGGCGTGGGGATTTCGAGACGGAGTTCTCTATGCAGCCCTGGCTGTCCTGGAACTCGCTCTGTAGACCAGGCTGGCCTCGAACTCACAGAGATCTGCCTGCCTCTGCCTCCCGAGCGCTGGGGTTAAAGTTGTGTGCCTCCACCATCCGGCTGTGACCTCATGTCATTATCCATAAAGGACAGTTTCTCACGCCCTGAGTGGTTTTCAGGTGGCACTAACGTGCACGCAGATCTGGTGGACGACTGAGGTGGGCCTGGCGTTCGCGAGGCTGGAGGAAGGGTACGAAAACGCCATCAAAGACTACAACAAAAAGCAGGTATGGAAGCCCCGGGCCCTGAAACTGCCAGGCAGCAGCCGGGAGCCCCCCCAAGTTAACTAGGGTCTCTGCTGCCGTGAAAAAACACGGCGACCAAAATTGACTTGGTTCAACTCACAGCCTGCAGTCCATCATCCTGCAATCCAGGGAAGTGAGGGCAGGAGCTGACGCGGAGGCCATGGAGGGGAGCTGCTTCCTGGCTCGCTCCCCAAGGCTCGCTCAGCCAGCTTCCTCATACAGCCCAGAACCACCAGCCCAGGGGAGGCACCACCACCCACTGCAGGCTGGGGGCTTCCACATCAGTCACTCATTAAGAAGATAAACCATGGGCTTGCCCACAGGCTAATCTGGGGGGGGAGGGGGCGTTTTCTCAGTTGAGGCTCTTATCTTCAAAAGACTCTGCCTTGTGTCACATTGACATTAAAGTAGGCAGCACAGGCCCCTTCTCCAAGGTGTTCACCATCTGTGTGTCAGGAGCAATCATGTGACAATCTAGTATCAACCTCAGACGTACAGAACTCAGAGCCTCCTCCGGAAATCACATACCAACACTGGCTTTAAAAAAATGTGTGTGTGTGCGCGTGCGTGAGAGAGAGAGTGTGTGTGTGTGTGTGTGTGTGTGTGCGCGCGCGCGCTCGCGCATGCACCCGAGCACATGCATCTCAATGTGCATGAGGAGGTCAGAGGTCAGCATGTGGAGGTCAGTCCTTCGCTTCCAGGAATTGAACTCTGGTTGTCAGGCTTGATGACGGGCACCTTTACCTGCTGAGCCATTTTGTCAGTACTGTTTTTTTTTTTTTTCCCTTGGGTAGGTCTTAGAAGGTGTGTCTGTGTGTGTATGTGTGTGTGTGTGTGTAAACCTCGGGTGTTTCCTCAGGATTCTGTCCTTCTTATATTTGGGACAGGGTCTGGGGACCCTGTCTATGTCTTTCTGGTGTTGGGGTCACAAGCCACCGCGCCTCACTTCTTCATATGGATCTGGGAACCAGACTCGAGTTCCTTGTCTTGCAAGAAAAGCAGTTAGGGCTGGCTGAGTCATCTCCCCGTCTCCCCAAGGTCGACACTGTCCCTCAGAACCTCCCTCACGTGTAACCCACTCCGTGGTGCCGGCTTTACGAGCAGCTGTTTTTACTAACGCACGCGCTCCTCCTCCCAAGGGGTCCATGGTATCCCCACCTGGCAGGAGAGGAAGCTTTCCATTTCTTCAGCATCGTGGCAAACAAGGGCTGGTGAACTCACACACACACACACACACACACACACACACACACACACACACACACACGCACGCACGCACGCATGGTCACAGAGAGGCATCCAGCCCAATGGCCACCCGAGGGCGTTGGCTCCAGGCAGGGTCCCAGCACAGACGCGCCTCTTTCTGCAGATCAGCCAGCTGAACGCACTCATCACCCTGCTCATCGGAAACCTCAGCGCCGGCGACAGGATGAAGATCATGACCATCTGCACCATTGACGTGCACGCCCGAGACGTGGTGGCCAAAATGATCGCTGCCAAGGCAGGAGCCCCCCCCCCCCGTCCCTGGGGGGCTGGGGAGGCCTGGGGACTGGGTATGGGGCTGGCCACACACCCAAGGACAGACTCCAGCCCCTACCATCACCTCTTCCCAGAGAGGTGACCGAGGAAGTCGCTGTCCTTCACACACACACACACACACACACACACACACACACACACACACACACACACGCACGCACACACACACACACGCACGCACACACACACATACACACGCGCGCGTAATCCATAGAGGTCAAATGAGTAGGTTACCAGAAGTTTCCATTCCTTTGTGTGCGTTCATGTGCGCAGAAGCGTATGCATGTGTGCACCTGTGGAGGTCAAAGGGCAACCTTTGATGTGGTCGCTCAGGCGCCATTCCCTCCTTTTTGGAGACAGGGTCTCACATTGACCTGGGCCTCAGCAGGCAAGGCTGGCCGGCCAGGGAGCCCCAGGGAGGGGTCCTCCAGCCTGCGTCTCCCCAGCACTGGGATCATGAGCACACGCCATCACACTGGCCGCCCTCGTGTGTTACACGGGGTCCTGGGGCTTGAACTCAGGTCGTCTCACGCTCTCAGCAAGTTTCTTACTGACTGGGCCAACTCCCCCAGCTCCAGAAGATCCTGTCTGTAGCGGGCTGCAGCCCGGGGGTGTTGACAGCTGTACTGGGGTGCAGAAGGGAGCCCCAGGGACTGGCCCCGAGCCACGACACACGGGGCGGGCCTCCTCATGCAGGTGGAGAGCTCGCAGGCCTTCACGTGGCAGTCACAGCTCCGACACCGCTGGGACGAGGAGAAGAAGCATTGCTTCGCCAACATCTGTGACGCCCAGATCCAGTACTCGTACGAGTACCTGGGGAACACCCCACGGCTGGTCATCACACCACTCACAGACAGGTGAGGGCCCGCCCGCCCGCCCGCCCGGCACCCAACCCTCCACACCACAGGTGAGGGCCCGCCCGCCCGGCACCAGACCCTCCACACCACACACCTCCTTGGGCCCTTCCCCCTCGGCTCCGCTCAGGCTGGGAGAACCAACATCTAGGTGAGAAGGTCCTGGGCTCAGGATCCAACTCTGTCACCAGGCAGGGGCCCAGCTTGAGGCTGAGCCCTCAGTCTGACACTGGCTGTGTGCTCAAGAGGGTTGCTTCCGCTCTCTGGGGTCCGCAAAGCAGGGCAGTAAATTACAGGACAATAAATACCGTGTCTGATGAGTCCAGAGGGCCCACTGTTCCCCAAACCCACCGGAGGGCCAGGCCTGCTCACACCTGTCCCTCGGTCACTTCGCAGGGTTCCTGCTCTCTGTCCCCGGGTGTGGAGGGGGGGAGTCTGAGCAAGTACAACAGCCCCCACAGTTAAGAGGGTAAAGCACCATGTGGAGCGTGCCCTGGGGTCACAGCGCCCCAGTATGGAGCAGGTCCCAAGGTCAGGGTTTTCCAGTGTGGGACAGGTCCTAGGGTCACAGTGCCCCAGTCACAGTTTCCCAGTGTGGAGCGGGCGCTAAGGACACAGTGCCCCAGGTGACTGGAGGTCCTTGGCAGGTGCTACATCACACTCACGCAGTCCCTCCACCTGATCATGGGCGGAGCCCCTGCGGGTCCTGCTGGCACAGGCAAGACGGAGACAACCAAGGACCTGGGCAGAGCCCTGGGCACCATGGTGTACGTCTTCAACTGCTCCGAGCAGATGGACTACAAGGTATGAGGCCAGGGCCGTGGTCCCCACCCGGGACCCAAGAATGTGCCGACCCCGCAGACGACACAGGCATGCAGGGGGCAGGGACTATGCATGCAGAGCACCCTGCCAGCACCCGCTTTGGGAGGTAGGGGGCCTCAGAGGGGGACCCCTCTCGGGACCAAGTCTGCCCCAATGATTAGAGACCACAGAGGAGTGAGTACCCACTGACCTTTGGTGTGGGTTTAGGATGAACGTAGGATTAAATGACAGGGGGAGAGGCCCCAGCAGTAACAGACCCATTGTAAGAGGGAGGAGTGGGGGGGCTCAGTCTGCAGGGGACTCCCTCCCCTCAGGTGAGCCCCACAGGCTAGGGGTCCCATCCTGAGGCTGAGAACAGCACCCATGACCCATCCTGACTGACGGTTGCACCATCAGAACCGCCCCCCCCACGGGCCCTAGAGAAGTGAGGTGAGGTGAGTTGAGTTGAGTTGAGGTGAGGTGAGGTGAGGTCAGGTCAGGTCAGGTCAGGTCAGGTCAGATGATCCACAAGGGATTTCTGCTTGGATTCCACGGTGTGTTGCTCGCCCTGCGGGGACAGACCGGCACGCTCATGGAGTGAGGTCTTCCAAGAGCTTGCAGCCCCAGGCTGCCTTGGGGAGGAGGATTCCCCCGCTTCCTTCATGGGCATAGAACGAGGAGGTGAGGGGGAAATGGCGGAGGAATGTCCACCCCTGCCTATGCCTGAGCCTTTCCCCTAGGTAAGCACCGGGGGCTGTGTGGGTCAGGCGCGAAAGGACAGGGTCCCCAGGCAGGAGCCAGGTGCCACATGAGTGCCCTAGGACAGGCACCTGCTTCCTGCAGGTCTTTGGAAGCCGTCCCCTCTTCTTCTGACGCACATCTTTCCCTTTGGCAGTCCTGCGGAAACATCTACAAGGGGCTAGCCCAGACCGGAGCCTGGGGCTGCTTTGACGAGTTTAACCGGATCTCGGTGGAAGTCTTGTCTGTGATCGCTGTACAGGTAGGGCCCTCCTGTCCCGTCTTGGGTCACTGGGGAGCCTGGAGCTTTGGGCCCAACCCTCGTGGTATCTTAGACACCGGAGAGCCTCCTGCCCGTGCGATGACACAAAGATGCCTCGGACCCCTGCCCTGGTCCCCAGGAGTCCTAGGTAGTTTACACACAGAGGAGATAGAGTCAGAGAGGGTTGCCCCTTCGTGCCAAGGGAGACAGGGAGGCATAACTGATTCCGCTCGGGGGTGCTGGCACAGAAAATTATGTTGGGTGTGGCAGCCCATGCCTGGAGTCCCTGGCACTTTGTGATGCCGAGCCGGGAGGCTCGTCACAGACTCAAGGCCTGACTGGTCTATGTAACCAAATCCAGGGTAGCCAGGACTATAAACTGAGAACAAAGAGGGCAGAGGAGAGAGACAGAGACAGAGACAGAGTGAGACTATCTTATAACCCGTAGTAGCCTTATGAACGTACCGTTGGGCAACAGGCTAAAGCAAAGAGGTCCAGAGTGTACCATCCGCCTCATAAGCAGGCTTTATCTATAGTCTGGGGAAAGCAGCTGCGGCATAGGGACAGCTGGGTTGACCACAGCTGGGCTCCTGTCTTACTTGAACGTGGGCTTGAACAACTGGCTGCCTGCATTTGGCTGGGACTCGGCCATGCGCTTCAAGAATTAAATGACAGTGTCTTTATTCCCTAGATGTCCATGTGGAGGGAAACCCTTACCTAAGCCTAGATTGAGTGTGGGGGTGGCCTCAGGCCAGACCCCTGAGCCAGACAGAGGAGAGCAAGGGGCTCTAGCGGGAAAGCAAAGGGTTCTAGTGCACGCACGGGCGACATGGGAGCGACCAACAGGACAGGAGTAGATAGGGAAAGCATGTATGCCTAGGGAATTCCCTCCCAGGGCACAGGACAGCCCTGGGGGGAACCCAAGGCAAGGCGAGAAGGGAACAGTGTCTTCAAACGGGGCGGGGGGGGAGGCGCTATGCCAGTACCCCCCAGCTTTTTTTTTTTTAACTCGCCTTGATGGCCCCGCCGCGTGTATTGGACAGGCATTGCCACGTCTCAGACAGGAGCCCCAGCAACCCTGGTGGCCCGCAGGCTGTAGAAACCGCGGGCTCTGAGGTCAGCTGAGCCTGGCCTCCAATCCCGGGGTCCACCCGTGACCCCCATCTCTGGAGCCCTAGGCCGGAGGCCCTGCTCAGAAGGTCCCAGCGAGCCAGGCCTCGCTACTTTGCCCCCCCCCAAAACCAGACAGAAAAAGAAATGATGGGAAATGGGAAAGCAAGGTGGTGACAGCAGAAAGAGGGAACAGCACTCTCGTCCTGGGTGGCGTGGGGGTGCGCAGGGCGGGTAAGTGCTCGCAAGAGCAAGAGCGCCAGGGTTACACAGGAAGGGGTTGCAGGGCGGGGCGGCGCCGGGCGGAGTGACAGGGACGGGGACACATTGGTCCTTCAGACCTGTCCAATGCAAGTCCAATGAAGCGCCCAGGTCCCCAGCTTCCATCCTGCTTTTCCTTCAGTCACCCAGCAGCCACCCGTCTGCCCAGTGACAAGTCGGTGTTTTTTGTGGCAGAAGCCGCTGCTAGCCTTGTTGGGATTTCAGTAGGAAAAGCCAGTGGGGACGCAGGGGACAGGGTCCCTGACCGCCCCCGTGCAGGGGTGAAGCAGGGGAGTGAGGACCCCCACAGCCTGGAGGAACCTCACCTCCAGAGCTCTCAGCAGCTCCCCATTCTCCAATCTGAGAAAGGCGAGCCCAGTCTGCCAAAGCGGCAGCCACTCCGCCAGCCTCCTCAGTCTGGGCTGAACCACCAGCCCCTGACCCAGTACACACACACCCCCAAGCTCCCAAGCCCCGCTCCAAAGTCAGAGGACGACCCTAGAATGTTGTGTTCTGTTCGTGGACACAAGAGACCTGGGAACAGAGCGCTGGGAAGGTCCCGGCAGCAGGAGGGGTTCCCGGTTCTTGCCCTCTAGTCCTGCCCAGATGTGAGCCCTGCGGGACCCCCACCACCACCACCACCACGACACAGCCAGGCCTAGCAAGGCCGGGCAAGCAGGCCGTGTGCTGGGGAGAGGAGCCGATGGCTGGGCGGTTTCAGCCACAAGCCGGGAGCTCCCTCAAGTGACGATCTTGTAGTTTGCAGCTGCCTTCTGTAGGCTTCTCTAAAGTCTCCGAAGCTGCTCCAGCCTGGTGAGCAGGAGGTGCGGGAGACTCTTGGCTATGACTACTAATGGGGCTCTGGTGGCTTCTTGTTAGAAAAAAGACGGAAATCTGGTTCATGGCCAGAGGGCGCTCTTGAGACAAGTCCCCCTGAAGTCTACTGTGTAACACCCACGGGTGACAAAAATCACAGGACAGCGCAGGGCCGGCAGGAATCAAGAGCAGTGACAGTGTGAAGGCCACTGCTAACTCGCAACTGCCAGGCTCTGAAACTGGACGGGGGTCCAGGGGTGGGGCGAGCATCCCGTCAGTCTAGTGCTTGCCAGGCACACCTGTAGACCTGAACTTTGATACCCAGAGCCCACATAAAAGGCCAGATGTGGGGGACGGGAGACATGGCTCAGAGGTTTAGGGCACCTGCTTCTTTTGAAGACCCAAGTTCAGTTCCCAACACCACTGCCAGGTGGCTCATAGCTTTGGGGGATCCAATACCCTCTTCTGGCCCTCCCCCGGGCAGCCAAACACACGTGTACAAAAGTATACACAGATATTTTAAGGGGGGGGCAGACACTGCCAGGTGGTGGTGGTGGCGGCGCACGCCTCTAATCGCAGAACTCAGAAGGCAGAGGCAGGTGGATCTCTGGGTTTGAGGCCAGCCTGGGACCCTGTTTCAAAACACAAGATCAGGTGCAAGGTGTGAAAGTCCAGTGCTGTGGAGGGGAGGTGTGTGTGTGTGGGGTCCCTGGGGCTCTCTGTGCCAGCCAGTCCAGTCAACTGGTGAGCCCCACATTCAGTGAGAGACCTTGCCTCACAAGAAGTCCTGAGCAACAGAGGAAGCCGCCCAATGCCATCTGGCTTCCACGTGCGTGTGTACCAACACACACGTGCACACGCACATTTGCACACGCAAACGGCCCCGTGTTGGTCTGTGTCTGCGTACCAACTGTCTAGGTGAAGTGTGTCCAAGACGCAATCCGGGCCAAGAAAAAGAAGTTTAACTTCCTGGGCGAGATAATAAGCCTCATCCCCACCGTGGGCATCTTCATCACCATGAATCCTGGCTACGCCGGACGCACAGAGCTGCCCGAGAACCTGAAGGCCCTCTTCAGGTGAAGGGGGGTAGGGGGCTAGCGGCGTTGGGGGGGCTGGAGAGTGAGTGGAGGTCGGGGGAGCCTAGTGCTGGCTCATCCCCCAGGCCCTGTGCTCGCTAATCCCCCAGGCCCTGTGCTATGGTGGTGCCCGACTTTGAGTTGATCTGTGAGATCATGCTGGTGGCCGAGGGCTTCCTGGAAGCCCGCCTGCTGGCCCGGAAGTTCATCACCCTCTACACCCTGTGCAAAGAGCTGCTGTCAAAGCAGGTGTGTCCTTCCAGTTCCTGGGGGAGTCCTGGCGGAGCCTCAGGGGACCCACACTCTGCCTCTGTCCTCCCTAGCTCTGAGATCCACTCCGAGCCTGGAAGCGCCAGTTGGCCACTGTAGGAAAGTGTGTTCATGTGTCTGCACCCCACACACAGGATCATTATGACTGGGGCCTTCGGGCCATCAAGTCCGTGCTGGTGGTGGCCGGCTCCTTGAAGAGGGGGGACCCCACCCGGGCAGAGGACCAGGTGCTCATGAGGGCACTGAGGGACTTCAATATCCCCAAGATCGTGACAGACGACTTGCCGGTGTTCATGGGGCTGATCGGGGACCTCTTCCCCGCCCTGGATGTGCCCCGGAAGCGAGACCTGAATTTCGAGAAGGTGATTCTCTTCCTACCCCACCCTCCTCCTCCTCCGGAGAGGCCTGCTCTCGCCTACAAGAATTCTGGGGCCATGAGCTGCTTCCTGGTCCCCAGGCAGCCCTGGGTTTCAGAACGGAGGGTCACAGAAAAATCTTGGGGTTGGGGCTCTGGGGCCGTGTGAACTCTGGGTGACATTAATGCCAACGCTTGGAAGCTCATCCAAAGGCCATCTTCCCAAGCCATGTCCGGCCTTGTCTCCCAGATCATCAAGCAGAGCATTGTGGAGCTCAAGCTGCAGGCAGAGGACAGCTTCGTGCTGAAGGTCGTACAGCTAGAGGAACTGCTTCAAGTCCGACACTCCGTGTTCGTCATTGGGAACGCAGGCAGTGGCAAGTCCCAGGCACGTCCCCAGCATCTGTCAGTACCCCCCCATCACCTCCCAGGCACGGCACGGCACCTGCAGTACCCCCCCATCCCCTCCCAGGCACGTCCCCAGCACCTGCCAGTACCCGCCCATCACCTCCCAGGCACGTCCCCAGCACCTGCCAGTACCCCCCCATCACCTCCCAGGCACGTCCCCAGCACCTGCCAGTACCCGCCCATCACCTCCCAGGCACGGCACGGCACCTGCCAGCACCCCCCATCACCTCCCAGGCACGGCACCAGCACCTGCCAGTACCCCCCCATCACCTCCCAGGCACGGCACCGCACCTGCCAGTACCCGCCCCCCCATCACCTCCCAGGCACGGCACCAGCACCTGCCAGTACCCCCCCATCACCTCCCAGGCACGGCACCAGCATCTGCCAGTACCCGCCCCCCCCATCACCTCCCAGGCACGGCACCAGCACCTGCCAGTACCCGCCCATCACCTCCCAGGCACGGCACCAGCATCTGCCAGTACCCCCCCATCACCTGCCACGCACACATCCCACCTGCCGCCTTGCCCCCCACCCCCACCCCCCGAGATGCTCACACACTCCTGGCTCCTGGCGTTGCCTGGAGCTGTGGTGGACGCTGCTGGGGGGCGGTCCCCGACGACACCAGTGCTGGTAACTCTGGCATTCTGAGCCAGCCAAGTGTCCGGCCAAATGCCTCCAGGGCAGGACGCTTAGGCTCTTACCAGGAGGGGGACAGCTCAGTTGGCACAGCACTTGCCTCACAAGCACAGAGACCTGGTCCCCAGAACCACATAAAAAGCCAACATGAAGGCCTGTGCTTCCAACCCCAGCGCTAAGGAAGGGACAGGAGAACCCCTGGGGCTTTCTGGCCACCAGGCCTAGCTAGCCCAATTGGTAAACTCCTCAAGCACAGAGAGGGACTCTGTCTCAAAAGGAAGTTGATGGCATTCCTGAAGGTGACTCTCGAGGTTATCCCCTGGCCTCTCCATTGCATACACATATGATGTACATATGTGTGTGTGTGCACACGTGCTCTCTCTCTCTCTCTCTCTCTCTCACACATACACACACACAAAAAAAATCCTTGAGTGTCCTTAAAACCTGTTTCTCTGAGTGAAGAAAAAAACAAGTAGTTTTCTTCCGTTTCTTTTGTTTTCCTCAATGCATTGCTTGTGTGGTGAGAATGGAGTTTGTGCTTTTCCAGGTCCTAGAATGAGTGGTCTCGGCTCCGTCTCCGGGATTAGTCAGCTCCCGTCACTCAGCCCGTACCCCTGTCCAGGGGACACAGATTCAGCAGCACCTGCTTCTCACTTTGCAAGCACACCTGGGGCTGCAGAGAGGGGGCTGCCCCAGGAGGGCCGCGAGCCAGGTTCTGGGACAGGTGCAGCTGCGGACACCAAGTCAGCGAATGACCCCCGCTCTCCCTGTCAGGTCCTCAAGTCCCTCAACAAGACCTATCAGAACCTGAAGAGGAAGCCGGTGGCAGTGGACTTGGACCCAAAGGCCGTGACCTGTGACGAGCTGTTTGGCATCATCAACCCGGCGACCAGGGAGTGGAAAGACGGTAGGTGGGGTGGGGTGTGAGGGGTCACCTCTGGGACAGTGTGTTCAGCAGGCTTTCTGAGGCCCCGCCCACTACCTGAGCAGGCTTCCTGGGGTGGGGTCACAGCCTCTGCGGGTCTGCGCCACCCCAGAAGAGCTATGGGAGCCAGCCAGGGCCAGGGCGCTCAGGACACAGTGCTCCTTGCCCCACCAGGCAGGCAGGAAGTCCAAGTAGAGACCCCTCACCCGAGGGGGACCCACAGGTGGAGCTGTGCTAAATGTGGCGGCCTCTGGCCGGGCGCCTCTAACTAAAGGCGAAGGGTGGACTCCAGAGAGGGATGAATGGTGGGGGGTGGAGGAGCCGGAAGAAGGCAAGGGCAGGGGCAAGGGCGGCGCCTCGAAGAGCAGGGGACCACTGCGGCCCCCTGGGTGGGCTCCTGCCACCTCTGAGATAGCATAAGCAAGGCCAAGGCCAGAGCCGCCTGGGCACGAAGGAATGAAGGCCCCAGAGTGCCTGGCACGCACGCCACCCGGCCCCTCAGACACGGCCATGAGTATCACCAGCCTGCCCCCCTACAGGCCTATTCTCAACCATCATGCGGGACCTAGCCAACATCACACATGACGGTCCCAAGTGGATTGTCCTGGATGGGGACATAGACCCTATGTGGATTGAGTCCCTCAACACGGTCATGGATGACAACAAGGTACGTGACTCCCGGATTCTCAGCTGAGCACCCACCCCCACCCCCAGTCACCAGCATGAGAAGGGACAACAGTGTCACAGGCGGGGACCGCAGAGAACACACGGTGCTGGGGTTAGAGGGCAGGGGCAGGGCGGCCGGGGGGGGACTCTGCTGGAAGCCACACACACACACACACACACACACACACACACACACACACACACACACACACACAGAGTCATGGCCTACAGACGGCACCAGCCGCAAGACATCCCTCCACGGGAGACGCAGCTCCGTGCCCTCCCGCACCTGCCCGTGTGTCTGCCTCCGTGTAGGCTGCAATAAAGCACGGGGCTCACTTTCCAACCCACACATGAAACACATGACGGAAACAGCCTCCAGAACAGTCTAGAAGCAGCTGGAGAAGATGATTCCTCCCGGCACCGGGGAGGGTGAAACAGGAGGATCGTGAGTTCAAGACCTGCCTGGGCTGCATAGCAAGACCCATGTCAGAAAACAGGGCTTCTGAATTGGGTAGAAGACAACACGGAAGGATCCCCACAGAGGGGAGAGTTGTGGTTTTTGAAGGGATGTCTGGGGGCCAGAGACAAGGAGAGAGTGACGTTCCTCAGCGACTCCTCATTTAGAGACTGCCACCCACCAACGGGCTTGCCCCCCCTCCCCCAGGTCCTCACCTTGGCCAGCAATGAGCGAATCCCCTTGAATCGGACTATGAGGCTGGTGTTCGAGATCAGCCACCTGAGGACAGCCACCCCAGCCACTGTCTCCAGGGCTGGCATACTCTACATCAACCCTGCTGACCTTGGGTGGAACCCGTGAGTAAGGCTTGGACTCTCCTGTTCCAAACTGTGGCAGAGCACGCGGTCAGTGGGCCGTGTCACCACGGCACACGCTTATACGTACCCATTCACCCACACAAGTGCCACGGTCCATCTCACCCCCACGTTCAGTGGGGCCGCATCAGAGCAGTACACGCTTGCATGTACTATGCTGGCTCACCTCGCTGTCACTGCAGTAAAAAGGGTGACACGTGACAGAAACTCAGTGACAGACAGTGTGGCGGCTGATGGGACACTCCAGGACAAAAGCTGGCCCCGCTCGCTGGGAGCGCTGGGATAAGGGGAGGCTGGCCCGCCTGAAGACACTGTGCTCCCCAAAGACTGAATGCAAAGCTGCTTCCCGAGAGGGAGCATTCTGGGAGCACAGGATCTAGGTCAGCGTTCCCGAGGAGGGCTGGCACTTTGGGGAGGCCCGGGGATGGATGGATAATGAAAGCTGAGGGCCGGGAAGAAAGGACTGCTTGCGACCCGAAGAGGGGTTACAGTCATGTCTGTGGGCAGCAGGGATGGCGTGGGGAAGGCATGGACTTGAGAGTGGCTTGAAGTCTTAAGGAACAGGAGATTTGATGTTGATATTTTCCTGCTTGGACATGATTGGCAAAATAGTAAAACTTGCGGGGACCCAGAAGGGGTAGCTTGGAGCTAATATATCGAGTCAAGTCAGCTGGAATAGAAACCACAGGCTCAGGATAAATACCTGAGCTGAAAACGAGCACTCACTTGTTCATCTACCCACCTGTCCATCCATCCATCTACCCACCTGTCCATCCATCCATCCACCCACCTGTCAGTCCATCCACCTGTCCATCCATCCATCCACCCACCTGTCAGTCCATCCATCCATCTACTCACCTGTCCATCCATCCATCCACCCACCTGTCCATCCATCTATCCAGCTGTTCACCCACCCACCCATCCTCCCACCCACTTACCTGTCAGTTTGTCCATCCATTTATCTGCCCCTTTACCCAGTCACCAACTCATCTACCCTTCCATACGTCAATCCATCCTCTATCCACTCACCTGTCCCTACCCCCACCTGTCCGACCGATCCTTTCTGCATACCTTCTGCGTCAGCTGAACCCTGAGAGTCCCATGCCAGCGGGGAGAGGGGGTCGGGGCGGAGTTGATTTTCCAGGAAAGATACGGGTTACGATTGGAACTTCCCTAACCAAGCTCACATTGCTTTGGAAGAGCAACAGACACCCAAAAGTATCTTCAGAAGAGACACAGGGGCAGTGGTGAGAAGAGACACAGGGGCAGTGGTGAGAAGAGACACAGGGGCAGTGGTGAGCTACAGACACTCCGAGGAGACAGTGCGCAAGGAGCAGGAAGCTGACAGGATAGTTCACACCTGAGAGACAAGCAGCCAGGTGCCCATCAGCAACTCGAGGTAGATTCAAGGGACTCTGGGGCGGAGGCCAGCACAGAGGAGGCTCTGGAAGTGAAGGCACCCTCTAGAGCTCTGAATTCAAGTGCTGGGGGGGGCGGGGTGCTGCAGCAGGAAGAGGGAGGTTTATTCGGCAAGCTGAGAACCAGTCTTAGGTGCAGGGAGCAGGCCTGAGGTAGAGAGAAGGAAATGGGAGTTCATACCTGAGTGCCTTGTCCGTCTCCGGTGGGAGGGGAAATGCCTTCTGGGAGGCAGGCCGCAGAATGAGGCCAGGCTCCCAGAGGGCACTGAGCAGGGTGCCCCGGCAGGCATAGGAGTGGGTGCTGGCCAGACACCCGGGGGCTGGAACCTCTGGGTCATCTGCCAGGCAGCACTGCGGTAGGGAAGCACTGCATGCCAGGCAGCCCCCCCACCCCCGCCAAGGGCGGTCCATCCTCAGAGAGAGCTGAGGACAAAAGCCCGAGGTCATGATGGCGGCACACCAGATCCTTGGAGGCTATCGGACAGGGTTGGTCCCAGCTTTTACCAGTTCCTGGCGGCTGGTGGCCACCCAAGGCTGTCTCCACATGGCCCCCCGCCAGGCACCAGATTTCAGGGTCTGCTGTAACCAAGGACAACCACATCTTGAGATCCACAGTTGGCTGTACCCGCAAAGGCGCCTTCCCCGTGTGAAGCCACATCCTTACTTTCTGGGTGGATGCGGAAGGGGCTGCTAATCTGCAGCAGCTTGAGTTTTCAGGGAGACCAGGAGACAGGAAGGGGGAACCGAAGTGGAGCCTGGGTAGAAGATGAGCTACAAGTCATGGCCACACCAAGAGATGGGAGACGTCAGGTCACCGACGGCTCCCGGATACAGGAGATGGGGTCCTGGGGCACAGCCCTGGGAAGCAGGCAGGGGAGCCAGAGGTGAAACTGTGAGGATGGAGGCAGAGCCGGACACTCCCAGAGGTGTCCGGGGGAATCAGACAAGGGTGGGTTCTGCTGAAGCAGCGAAGAGAGCCGGGGTTCAGGGCTCCCCCAGATGGAGCAGCGGTCCTTAAGCAGATGGCCACAGGGGAGGCCAGGACTCCAGCCAGCAGCCGGCCAGCCCATGGGGACATAGGCCAGTGACACACCCCAGCTGCCCCTGGGAATGAAGCGAGAAGTGCCTGGACATGTCAGAAGGCTGACCTGTGTCTTCAGGAGCGTCTGCCTGAGTTTGTACAGATGGAAGCCAGCATGCACAGGACTGCAGTCCGTGACGTCACCGAGGCAATGTTGCCGTGTGACACGGGAGTCCTCAGGTGGGGCAGAGAAGCAGCAGCCTGAGACCATTCCTGCATGTCTGCCCAGTCTACTGAGGACCACCTCCATGTGGGGTTCCCACTCGAACTACATCCTGCACCGAGGCATGAATGGCAAAGGCTTACTTATCACGCTGGTATGCCGGTGTTGCGGCCCAAGGCCTCGGTTTCCCGTCCTGTCCCCACAGCAGGGCAGGAAGCAGCAGCGCTCCCAGCAGGCTCATGGAGAGGTCTCGGGTGCTGGCTGTGGACTGTGGCTTCATGTTTCATAACACGGGCTTCCTGCTTACGCCTCGGGCATCCTGGAAATGATGCACACCCTCGGCTCGCTGGCCCTCGAGGGAGCCCAACACTATTTATGCTTTTAGCAGATACTCCTCTGGCACTTACCGGGGACCAGGCTCCCTTCCGTGAGCTTTAAAAAGAGCAGCCTGCACCGTCCTTTGGAGCAAGGGTGATGTAAACATGACCAGATTACAGATGGAGCATCTGGAACCCAAAGCTGTTAAGTGACTTGCCTCAGGCTACATTTGGCTGTGGTCCACCTTGCAAGTCCAAGCAGCCAGCTGCAGCTTCCCTGCCTCTCAACAACCATGCTGGGGCGTGGCACTGCGCCATACAATCTGGAATGGTCGCCAGGGGCCATCTAGTATTTGGACCTGGACTCTTCCAACGAATATGTCAAGTTCAACTTGAACTCACCAACGCCAAATCTCTATGTACACATGTGTATGTATGTGCTCGCCAAATCTCTATGTACATATACGTATGTATGTATTGTGTGTGCACCCATGTGTAGATTCCAGCCACTAGGTGGGTGCAGGCACAGCTGGGTGCAGAGGTCCAAATGATGTCATGAGGATCCCAGCTCCTCCTCTCCTCTTCCATCCTTAGCTGCTTGGCTGCTTCCCCTCCCCCGCCCCCAGATGGCCTCCTAGTCCCCAGCCCATAGTATTCAGCTTCAGCTGGGAGAAGATGCCTCCTAAGCGGCAAGAATGACTCCCAGGGGGCTGGAGAGATGGCTCAGGGGTTAGGAACCCTGGCTACTCTTCCAGAGGACCCTGGTTCAATTCCCAGTACCCACATGGCAGCTCACAACTGTCTGTAACTCCAGTTCCAGGGGATCTGGCACCTTCACACCAAAGCACATAAAGTAAATTATTGAAGAAGAAGAAGAAGAAGAAGAAGAGGAGGAGGAGGAGGAGGAGGAGGAGGAGGAGGAGGAGGAGGAGGAGGAGGAGGAGGAAGAAGAAGAAGAGGAGGAAGAAGAAGAAGAGGAGGAAGAAGAAGAAGAAGAAGAAGAAGAAGAAGAAGAAGAAGAAGAAGAAGAAGAAGAAGAAGAAGAAGAAGAAGAAGAAGAAGAAGCTGCTGAGTGGTGGTGGTGTACGCCTTTCATCCCAGCACTCAGGAGGCAGAGGCAGGCGGATCTTTGTGAGTTCGAGGCCAGCCTGCTCTACAAGAGCTAGTTCCACGACAGACTCCAAAGCCACAGAGAAACCCAGTCTCAAAAAATAAAACAAAACAAAAGAACGACTCTCGGGACTGGGGATGCATTGCAGTGGACGAGTGTTTCCTAGTATGCATGGAGCCCTGGGCTCACCCCCTAATCCAGGCTTGGTGACTGTACACCAGTAATTCCAGCATTTGAGAAGTGGAGATAGGAGGATCAGGATGAAGTCTTCCTTGGCTACCTAGTTTGATGACAACTCGGGATTCAAGAGACACAACACCATCGAAAGAAAGGACTCGGGGCGGGCAGGGGGGGCATGGATCGGTCCATCACAGCTGCCTTGGACCAATCCAGAGGGGACGGGGGGGGGGGACCAGACTCCCCACTGGCCCAGCATCCCCCACACCAGACCCTCTGAGGGTCTGTAGTCAGCTAGCCCTGACGGTGGCCACCTCACCAGCGATGCGGACAGCCTCGAGGGGGACTGACGGTGGCCGTTACTCCCCCCTCAGGGTGGTGAGCAGCTGGATTGAGAGGCGCAAGGTGCAGTCTGAGAAAGCCAACCTGACCATCCTCTTCGACAAGTACCTGCCCACGTGCCTGGACAAGCTGCGGATCGGCTTCAAGAGGATCACCCCCGTGCCGGAAATCACCATCATCCAGACCATCCTGTACCTGCTGGAGTGCCTGCTCACGGAGAAGAACGCTCCGCCAGACTCCCCCAAGGAGCTGTACGAGCTGTACTTCGTGTTTGCCTGTTTCTGGGCTTTCGGAGGCTCCATGTTCCAGGACCAGGTGACAGGGCGCGCCCGGGGACCCAACCCCCCCCAGACCAGGCTGCCCTGCAGCTCTCTTAACTGAGCCCTCTCCCTTCCTCTTCTCCTCTTCTTCCTTCCTTCCTTCCCCCCCTCTTTCTTTCTTTCCCAACAGCTCATTGATTATCGAGTCGAGTTCAGCAAGTGGTGGATCAATGAGTTTAAAACCATCAAGTTACCCTCGCAGGGAACCATTTTTGACTACTACATTGACCCCGAAACAAAGAAATTCCTGCCTTGGACAGAAAAAGTGCCTTCCTTTGAGCTGGACCCTGATGTCCCACTGCAGGTGACCTTCCCCAAAGCCTCGGCCAGGGCAGAGTTCATGTCCCCCACCCCCCCGGCCCCCACTCCCACCCCGAGTCACAGGGAGTCGCAGCAGGGCCCTTTTAAAAGTGACGCCGGGGTCTTAGAAACCCAATGGAGCCGGCACACCGGCAGGCACTGGGTCTGTTGTCCCTCCCACGGCTCCCCTACGCCCCCCCCCCCAGGCCTCTCTGGTCCACACGACGGAAACCATCCGCATCCGGTACTTCATGGACCTCCTCATGGCGAAGTCGTGGCCCGTGATGCTGGTGGGCAACGCGGGTACCGGCAAGTCGGTGCTGATGGGGGACAAGCTGGAAAGCCTCAGCACCGACGACTTCTTAGTGCAGGCCGTGCCCTTCAACTTCTACACGACCTCAGCCATGCTGCAGGGTGAGGGACCCGGACCCTCCCCCACGCCTGCCCCCCCCACCTCCCCAGCCCCGGTCCCTGCCCCCTCCCACCTCCCCAGCCCCGGTCCCTGCCCCCTTCCACCTCCCCAGCCCGGTTCCTGCCCTCTTCCACCTCCCCAGCCCCGGTCCCTGCCCCCTCCCACCTCCCCAGCCCCGGTCCCTGCCCCCCCACCTCCTCAGCCCGGTCCCTGCCCCCCACCTCCTCAGCCCGGTCCCTGCCCCCCCACCTCCTCAGCCCGGTCCCTGCCCCCTCCCACCTCCCCAGCCCCGGTCCCTGCCCCCTCCTCCCGCCGTGGGACTTCCGGACTACCAGCCTTGTCCCCCATGGAGACACCTGGGCGGTGTCCTGGGCAGATGCCGCAGTAGTGGTTAGTGTGGGTCACTGAGGGGTCCAAGAGGTGTCTGGTCCAGCTAAAATAATCGCACATCAATCAATTAGGGGGGTGGCAGCATGCCGCCTCCACCTGGGAGCTGATGGTGGAGCGCGGTGCCCACCCCCGGTGCTGCCTACAACACCCCACTGCGGGGGGGGTCTCTCTCTGCGCCAGGCACATCTTACAACACCCCACTTGAGGAGGGTCTGTCTCTGCGCCAGGCACATTCCGAGATCCAACCTCCTTCCTCCCACGGGAGACAGACAGTAGGGCCCCGCACTGTCCGGTAGGCACCACCCGGGAGGCGTGGGGGTGGGCGTGGACGACCTTCCGTCCTCCGCAGGTGTGCTGGAGAAACCTCTGGAGAAGAAGTCGGGGAGGAACTACGGCCCCCCGGGCACCAAGAAGCTGATCTACTTCATCGACGACATGAACATGCCCGAGGTGGACAAGTACGGCACGGTGGCCCCGCACACCCTGATCCGCCAGCACATGGACCACGGGCACTGGTGAGGGCGGAGCAGCGTGGGGGCGTGGCCGCAGCTCTGCGGGGGTGGGGCCAGGGCTGGGAGGGCGGAGCAGCGTGGGGGCGTGGCCGCAGCTCTGTGGGGGTGGGGCCAGGGCTGGGAGGAGGAGAGAAGTTGGCAGGAGGCTGGTCGGGGGCTGGCAGGGGAGACCATGGGGTCATGGGGCAGCGCTGGGACAGTAGAAGGATCGCTCGGGTTCTGTCCTATCGCCACCTCACAACCACGCCGGGAACTGCGGCCAGGACCCCACAAGGGGGGAGCGGGTAAGGTCCCCGCTCAAAGGAGCGTGTCTGCTGTGGTAGAACAAGGGAAAGCTCTGAGAAGCTCCTGGTCTGTCACAGAGGAGCCCCTGGTGGGTCGAAGATGCCCCCTAGAGAGCTGCCGGGCAGCTGGGAGCTGGGTGCAGCTGGGCCCGGCCCCCACAGGGACCCCTGCTGAGCGCTCCACCTGATTTGTAGCACCAAACACTCAGAGGGCTCGGCAAGACCCCTGTGCTCTCCCAGCAAAGAGGCTCCGCCCACTCCTGCCTTCACGGCTCCGCCCATGCCTGCCCTCAAGGTTCCGCCCACGCTGCCTGCCTTCACGCAGCTCCGCCCACACCTGCCTTCACGCGGCTCCGCCCACACCTGCCTTCACGCGGCTCCGCCCACACCTGCCTTCACGCGGCTCCGCCCACACCTGCCCTCACAGCTCCGCCCACACCTGCCTTCACGGCTCCGCCCACATTTACCTGCCTTCTCGCGGCTCCGCCCACGCCTGCCTTCACGGCTCCGCCCACACCTGCCTTCACACGGCTCCGCCCACACCTCCCTTCACGCGGCTCCGCCCACACCTGCCTTCACGGCTCCGCCCACGCCTGCCTTCACGCGGCTCCGCCCACACCTGCCTCTGGCTGTCTCTGGAGAAGCTTGACGGAAGGGAGCGGTGGCTCGATTGGGGTTGGAAAAGGTCCCAGCAGCAGAACGGCTCGGCGGCCCGAGGCCGACCGCGGAGTCTGATCCCCGTGGAAGCAGAGAACCCCCTCCTGATGGGGGCCCCGCCACCCGCGCATACACACACAGTGACAAACCCGCCCTGCAGACGAGGCCCAGGCGGCCCGCGGTGGCGGGGACAGAGAGATCCTTATTGCGGTCGTGTCAGGAAGTGTCGGGCCAAGGCCCTTTTGGTGCCCGACCCCAGACACAAAGGCAGGGACGCCAGGAGCCAGTCTCCTGGTAATGAGGGAGGCGGGGGCGGGGAAGGGCTTCTCGGACAAAAGTTTGCAAAGCAAAGCTGGGGGGGGGCGGGGAAAGCTGCTCCCGGTGACTAACACGAAGGCTGCGGGAATCTTGCGCTTACAAAAGCGTGGGCCGGCAGAGTAGTTAAGAGTTAAGTGTTGGGTTGATTGATGGAGG